GAAGGAGAAAGAGAGGGAGAGAAACACCAATGTGTGGCTGTGTGGCTGCCTCCCACATGCCCTATACTGGGGACCTGGCCTGCAAGTGCCTTGACCGGGAATTGAACCGGCAACCTCTTTGTTCGCAGCCCAGCACTCAATCCACTGAGCCACACTGGCCAGGGCGCTCTCTTTATCTTTAACCTTTGGCCTCTTAATTATGATGTGTCTTGGAGTGGCTCTCTTTGCATCCACCTTCTGTGGGACTCTCTGTGCTTCCTGGACTTGCAACTCTATTTTCTTCACCAAATCAGGGAACTTTTCTTTCACTATTTTTTCCAATAGATTTCCAATTTCTTTCTCTTTCTTTTTTTCCTTCTGGCACCCCTATGATGCAAATGTTGGACTTCTTGAAGTTGTCCCAGAGGCTGCTTATACTCTCCTCATTTTTTTTTTTATTCTCTTTTCTCCTTGTTATGTGTGGCTGTTTTTTGCTTCCTTGGAAATGTTCCAAATCATTGATTTGATTCTTGGCTTCATCCACTCTACTGTTGTTGCCCTGCAAATTGTTCTTTATCACAATTAGCATGGGGGTGTCAAACTCGTTTTCACTAGGGGACCACGTCAGCCTCGTGGTTGACTTCAAAGGGCCGAATACAATTTTAGGACTGTGTAAATGTAACTATTCCTTAACAGTTAAGCAAGAACTTGGCGCTGCTGCCAGGTAGAAACAAGGTGCTGGGCCAGATAAGACAAGGTGGAAGGCCGGATTCGGCCCGTGGGCCTTGTGTTCGCCACCTGTGAATTAGTGTATCCTTCATTTCTGATTCATGTAAGGTCCTCGCTAAGTTCCTTGAGTATCCTTATAATAAATGTTTTCAACTCTGCGTATGATAGATTTGCTTATCTCCATTTTGTTTAGCTCTTTTTCTGGAGTTCTGATCTGTTCTTTTCTTTGAGCCATGTTTCAAATTTTAAAAAAAATATATTTTTTATTTATTTATTTTTAGAGAGAGGGGAAGAGAAGGAGAAAGAGAGGGAAACATCGATGTGTGGCTGCCTCTTGCACGCCCCCTACTGGGGAGCTGGCCTGCAACCCAGGCGTGTGTCCTGATTGGGTATCAAACTAGTGACCCTTTGATTTTCAGGCTGGTGCTCAGTCCATGGAGACACACCAGCCAGGGCTGGGCCATGTTTCTTTGTCTCATTGTTTTGGCAGCCTCCCTGCCTTTGTTTCTATGTATTAGGTAGGCCTGATTTCACTCCGTGTCTTGGTGGTGTGGCCTAAGGTAGCAGGTGTCCTATAGGGTCCAGCGGCACAGCCTCCCCTGTCACCCAAGCCCTGGGTACTCATGGTGTGCCCTTTGCGTCGGCTGAGTACACCTTCCTCTTGTAGTTGAGACTTGGTTGCTGTTGGCAAATCAGTGTGAGGGGTTTACCCAGGCCAGTCAGCTGCAGGGACTGTGTGTGACCACTGACCACCAGCCTCTGCCCTCCTTGGAGGATCATCTGAGCAGGGGCAGGGTGGTGGTGCTCTGACGTGGTCTGTAGCTGTCCACTGGGGGCGCTGGCCCTGGGGTTTCCCTGGTGGTGCAGGCCAAGGTCAGCCCCCTCCTCTGTTTTGCCCAGGGCACCCTGTCTGAGTTACGAAGCCATCTGAGATGGCTGCTACTTGCGCTGGCCTTGGAGATCCCCAGGAGAAACCAAGCAGTGAATCTAGGCTGGCAGCTGCTGCTGGTGCTGGGCCTGGGGCTCCCTGAGGCCACCTGTCGAGTGTTTGACAGGATTTAGGAAGTTGTGAAGCAAGAGTCAAGACCAGTCATTCATATGCAAAAGCAGTTGGGTGGGGCAGAGTCTCTGGGGATCTTCAAGATGGGTCAAGCAGTGTTATCCAGGTTGTTGGAGCCTCAGATGGGGCACCAGTTTACCATATCTGAGTATTGGCTTACCGTGTCTTAGTGCGTGGAGGGTTTAGCAAAGGGACAGTGGCCTCTGCCTGGCTTGATGCCAGACACTTCAGTTTCTCCCTGGGTACCCTGGGCACCCTAGGGTACCCGTGGTACACATCATTTCAAGATGCGACCCCAGTGCTGGAGCTCACAGGGAGTAACTGTGAGCAGGTGGGTCCTTGTGAATTCTTTAAAAGGAACTGCTTGGAGCTCCAGAAGTTCCTTCCACCAGCTCAATCCCCACTGGTTTTTGCAGCCAGAAGTTATGGGGGACTTATCTTCCTGGCACTGGAATCCTGGGTTGGGGGCCTGGTGTGGGGCTGGGACACCTTGCTCCCAAGATACTCGTCCTGAATTTTTATCTACCACATATGAATATGAGACCAGTCCATTCCACATCTGCACCCCTCCTACCAGTCTGGATGGAACTGGTTTCTTTAATTCCACTGTTGTCAGGCTTCCATTCAACTCAATTTCGTAGTTGTCAGACTTACATTGAACTGGATTTCTAATGTTCTGAGTGATGGTTGTTCTATGCTTCAGCTGTAATTTTGATGTGGTTGTGTGAGGAGCTAAGCCATGTCTGCTCATGCTGCCATCTTGACCAGAAGTTTTTTATTTTATGTTATTTTTTTAAAGATTTTATTTATTTATTTTTAAAAAGGGGAAGGAAGGGAGAAGGAGAGGAAGAGAAACATCAATATGTGGTTGCCTCTCTTGCGCCCCCTGCTGGGGACCTGGCTCGCAATCCCGGCCTGTGTCCTGACTGGGAATAGAACTGGCGACCCTTTGCTTTGAAGTCTTGCACTAATCCACTGAGCCGCACCAGCCGGGCCAGAAGTCTAGTTTGTTTGTTTGTTTGTTTGTTTTTAAAGATTTTATTTATTTATTTTCAGAGGGAGGGGGATGGAAGGAAAAAGAGGGAGGGAAACATTGATGTGAGAGAAAAATATCGACCAGTTGCCTCTCATGCCCCCAGCTGGGGACCAGGGCCACAGCCAAGCATGTGCCCTGAACGGGAATCAAACCAGCAACCTTTAGATTGGTAGGGTGATGCCCAACCACTGAGCCACAGCAGTCAGGGCCTCACACTACTTATTGATATTTAATTAGCGTTCTAGAAAAACTAGGCCTTTCTTGCCCAAGTTCCTAGTTAAGCCCTCGTGGTGAAAACTGCTCACCGCACAAGTCCCTGCTCATTTATCCGTTCGCGGGCCCGTTAGGATCCAGGACCTGATACAAAATGCTGGGAACAAAACTGGAAAAAAGACCGACGTGTCTCCCCTTTCGTGGAACTCCTTTCTGCTGAGCGAGTCAACCAAACGAAGATTCATGTCAATGCAACACGACCGGTGCTCCTGGCATCATCCTAGGGTATTTTCCTGCATGTGCTCTCTCTGCGGCCTTTCCACGGGGGCCTGGGTGCAGTGGTACAGTAACCAAGCGCCGTGCTCAGAGTCCGCAACCCTGAGTTCAGTGTGATACTGTCTCTGCGACTTGAAGCTGGGTGAGCACGTTGTCCAACCTCTCCGTGCCTCACCTTCTTCGTCTGTAAAACGGGGATATTAGCAACACAGGCTTCGTGAGGACAAAGGGCTTGGCGCAGAATCTCCATGTGAATTAATGTCTGCCACTACTCTTTGTTTCCATGTGGTATAGTCTCTGCACTTTCCTTTTCCAAAGCACCCTTTTCCTGCCCCTGTGAAAATGATGGAGGGAGAGACTTTATGTTGGGAAATTTCTATCTTTTCACATTCCCCCCCCACCCGCCCGGAAACTGGAAAGAGACTCTCAGTATATACACGATTTTAGTAGATCCCCTAGGCTCAGCTCACAGAATTCCAGTTTGCCATTGGAATCCGTATTGCTCACGCACCTAAATATACTTAACTACTTTTTACAGGAACTCTTCCACAATTGCCTGAAGGTAGTTTTGTAATTTAGCATACATGGGGAGAGGGGGCACATTGCAGGACACACTCATCAGTCAGAAGCTCAAGACTAACTAAGCCTTTGATGACTGGAAGTTCCTATGTATTAGTGAGGGTAATTTGGATGTGGCGTAGTCTTCATCGATGGCTCTGCAGGGCTGGGAAGGTGTGTGACAGTGACAGAAGCCCTGGGCTCAGGACAGCAGGGACAGCATCTCTCCCTTTCTCTATGGGACCTGGCACAGCACCCAGCACGATCACCCCCTGGCATACAGCAGGAGCTCGCTCAACATTACCTGCCAGCTGTGCGATATTGGGTAAGGTACTTAACTTCTTTCAGCCTCGGTTGCAAATAAATAGTACATTTGCTTAAAAGATTTTGTGTAAGAAGAAAGCGAACTATTATTAACTCCCACCCAGTGCCCAAGGCAGGACAGTTGGCTCTCTTCCCCTTTCAGTTCGCGCGCATTTCCTACCCAGCCCGCCCCCCACCCCACCACCAGGTTACATTTGAGTCAGGGAGTTTGCTCTGCTTCGTCTCCCCAGTGGGAGAGGGCTTTTGCATGTGATAGTTTCAGTTTCTTGATGCGTTCAGTGACTCTCCGAACACTTGTGATGGACAAAACCTGAGAGTTGGGGGAAAGCAGGCACACTCAGGAACCCAGGAAACGGAGTGTGACGGAAGAAGCAGAGGCCTCCAGGAGGAAATGATAAGAAAGACCTAGTTAGATGGTTCACCTGGATTAGCTCTTAAAGGGCTTTGCAGGTCCTTTAAAAAAAAACCAACAACAACACATTTTTAAAAAATTTGTTTTCAGAGAGAAGAGAAGGCAGGGAGAAAGAGAGGGAGAGAGACATCAATGTGTGGTTGCCTCTGGCACACCCCCAAAGGGGACCCAGCCTGCAACCCAGGCATGCGCTCCAACTGGGAATCAAACCAGCGACCTTTTGGTTCACAGGCCGGCACTCAGTCCATTGAGCCACACCAGGCAGGACAAGGGCTTTGTAGGTCTTATAAGAATTTTGGACTTATATGAGGCAGAGGATTGCCACTGAACCAGGGAATGGCAGAAGCTCATTTTGTTGTGATTTTACAACGGTTCATGTCCCAGACTTTAGTGTACTAAGAATCACCAGGGACGTGCTCTCTTTGACAGCACATATACTAAAATTAGAAGAATACAGAGAAGATTAGCATGGTCCGTGAGCAAGGATGACATGCCAAAAATTAAAATCACCAGGGAAGCTTGTTAAAAAGGAGGGAACCCTAGCTCTGTCCAGGTAGCTCAGTTGGTTAGAGCATCGTCCTGATACACCAAGGTTGAAGGTTCAATCCCCAGTCAGGGTACATACAAGAATCAACCAATGAATGATCTAATAAATCCAACAGATAGATGTTTCTCTCTCCCTATCATCAATAAATAAAAAAAGTTTTAAATGTCATTTAAAAAGGAGGGACCTTCCCCTGGCTGGATGGCTCAGTTGGTTAAAGCTTCATCCCAATACACCAAGATTGCAGGTTTGATTCCCGGTCAGGGCGCATATAAGAATCAACCAATGAGTAAGTACATTAATGAGCAGAACAACAATTTGACGTTTCTCTCTCTCTCTAAAATCAATCAATAAAAACAATTGTTTTTAAAAAGGAGACATACTGGTACCCAAGAATATACATTTATTTTTTAAATTTTAATTTATTTAGCCCTGGCTGGCGTAGCTCAGTGGATTGAGCGCGGGCTGCAAACCAAAGCATTGCAGGTTCAATTCCCAGTCAGGGCACATGCCTGGGTTGCAGGCCATGACCCCCAGCAACCGCACATTGATGTTTCTCTCTCTCTCTCTTTCTCCCTCCCTTCCCTCTAAAAATGAATAAATAAAATCTTTTTAAAATTATTTATTTATTTATTACTTATTGTCCATTGAGGCATTTTATTTGCACTTATATATCACATCCCTAGGAAACGAATTTCAGGATTTCCCATCCTGTGTGCTTTTGTCTTGCTTCTTCGTGGCCCATGACCCTCGCTGCCAGGATGGAAGCAGGTTATTTTGCCATTTTTCTAGATTTTTGAGATCCACATCGAACCCGGGGCTGGTTCCTCCACCCTTGTTCAACCTGTCTGTGAGGGTCACAACAATTTTCCCGGCTCCGTGGCCATCGAGAATTTCAAACTCGCCAACGTAACGATGCTTCATCATCACAGTTAGAAACCAGACGGTGACTTGGGAGTTTGGCCTAATAAAAACCCAGTGTCTGCTTCTCTTTTCGGCACCGTTGGTATTCTTGAGAGCATCAGCCAGGACACTCACGAGCACCTTCACGGGGGCACGGAAAGACGGCGGAAAGAGGACAAGGAGGGGTGAGCACATGAAGACTATGCATTTAAATCAGCGTCCTCTTGATTCTTATTCACGTCAGGACAGCCCTGGCCGGGTAGCCGCCGGGTAGCCCCGTTGTTTGGAGCACTGTCCTAGTACCCCCCAGGTGTGGGGTTCAAGTCCCTGGTCTGGGCTCACGCAAGAGACAACCAACGGATTCCCGGATGGGTGGAGCAACAGGTCGATGTCATCCCCCCCGCACCCCCCGCCCCGTAAAGCCAATAAATGAATTTGAAAAAATACCCAGGGTCAAGTGGGACTTACCTTAAAACAAAAAGATCAGTTAGGAGGCAATTGCAGCAGCCTTAGGGAGAGAGAGCTGACGGGAACTCAGGCGCCCCCTGCCCCCTGATGAACCTTCCTTCTTAAGGTCTAAGGCTTTCTGCTGCCTGACCCGGAGACTGGACAGAGCCTCTTGGCTGGAGAAATAGCTGGCAGGGATTAGAGCGCAGAGTAGACCGGACTTGGAAGTGGATTGCGCGGGAATGTGGCGCGGGAATGTGCGGGAAGAAGGGAGGAGTCAAGGTCAAGGACGCCCCCTGCGGGGCTTGGAGCAATGTGGTAACGGCGTGCCCTCCCTACGGTGGAGCGGGCCGGCCGGAGAAAGTCAAGTGAGGACTTTTCGTTGAGGTCTGCTGAGCTTGGGGTGGCTTTGGGACACCCAACAGGAGACGTTCAGAAGTCAGTTGGATGTATAGGTTGCACGCAAGCACGGAGAAGGATCTGGACTAGACATACAGCGTTGAAAACCATGAACAGAAAGCTGGTCGTGGAAGTGGGTGAAATCACCCCAGGAGAGACAACTGAATGACAAGGGAGTGGGTCTAGAAAAAACCCAAGGAACACGGAAGGGAAGGGGTGAGAGGGGTGCGGGGGGAAAAGTGCCAAGGAGTCCAAGACAGACCAGAGTCACACAGTCCGAAGTCACGGGGAGGGCGGGAGGGAGGCCACCGCAGCGACGCGCGGCCAGCGCGCCGGGCTCACCCCGTCGGCGGTGACCTTGCAGGAAGCAGCTTTTGAGGCCACGCAGGGACAGCGCCAGATTGCAGCGGGCCGAGGCGTGAGTGGGAGGCGAGGGAGTGCAGACAGCTGGCATGGACATTTTTTCAAGATGCTTGCCCAAGAATGGAGAGAGATACGGTGGCAACTCAGGATGGAAATAGCACTGAGTCCTTTTCTCCGCTGGCGGAGTGGAGGAACATACAGGGACAGAGAAAATAATAAAGCCTCCTGGGAGGAGTTGGGGGGCCCCACTGCCCAGAGGCCAGGGTCCGCTCTGAAAACGGCAGGGGCCCGGCCGACTGGACGGGAGGCTCGATAGCGGGCAGTCCCCGCGGAGGGATTCCCTTTCCCCTTGGAGGCTGGGGCCAGGCCGCGGGCCAGGAGTGCGGAGAACGAACATTTTTCCTCGGCCGGCCCAAGTGCAGGATTACCGGGGGTGCGTTAGCAGCCACCGCACTGAGGCAAGGCCGTGGTGGGAAGCGGGTTGAGGCTCAAGGTTTGAAATTCCCAAGACGAGAGGCTGGCTGGGGGGAAGTGTCACGTTCCTCTAACCGTGGGGAAAATGCTTTCGGCCCAATGAACAAGAGGGATTTTTTTCCCCTAGAACCTCATGCTGGGGCTATGCTTTAGGTTTCCCCGTCCTCGTGCAGTCAGCGGGCCTTCCCCGGCGTGTGTCTCAGGTCCAGGCCTCAAGCCTCCTCGTCCTCAACGAGGACCAGCTGGAAGCCATTTTGATTAAGCTCCACCACAGAAGGACAATACAGCCCCGCCCAGAGCAGGCGCGCCCCCGCGGCGGGCAGGGTGCGCGTGTCCGCGCCTCTTCCCGCCGGCCTGGCGGGCGCCGGGCCGGGGCCCGGCAACGCGGGGCGAGGGGGGGCGGGGGTGGTTATGTAAGCGTTGCGCGCTCCCGCGAGGCGGCAGCCAATGGGAAGGTCTGGCGGCTCGTGCTCGCGCACGCAGGGTGGGGGGAGGGGGCGCACAACGTGCGCGCGCCCTCTCCCTCCTCCACCGCTGCCGCCTCCTTCTTCTGCCGCTCCTGGTGCTGCTTGTGTGCTCCTTCGGTGCGGACCTGGTACCTCTTTTGTGAAGCGGCAGCTGAGGAGACTCCGGCGCTCGCCATGGCCGACGAAAAGCCCAAGGTGAGCTCGCCGCCGGCCTCCTCGCCTCGCCGCGCGGCGTGGTCAAGGCGCGGGCCGGGGGGCTGGCCCAAGCCGCCGCGGGCTCCCCGCGCTTGCCCGGGGCCCCCCATGGGCCGGCCGCGGTTCAGGCCCGAGCGTTCCGCGCCATTTTCCTCCCTCCCCTCTTCCTCCCGCGCCGGAGGAGGCCCCGCGGCCCTCCCCCGCCCCCGGCCGCCTCGGAGTGCGCGCCGGCGCGAGTAGGGCGGGCGGATCGCGGACGCTCGCAGGCCAACCGGCTGCGAGCGGGGCTTCTGGGGCCCGGCCCGGCGGGCGCGCGTGAGGAGGGGCGTTAAGGCGCGCAGCGTCCCCACCCTTCGCGGATCCCGCGCGGAGCTTCGGCGGCTTTTGCCGCCTCCTGGGTGGCGGGGAGTTCCCTCCCTCCAGAACTTCCCCCCACGGGGATGAGAGCCGCGGGCATCGTGGGACCCCTGCCCCGGGCGGCGGCGGCGGCCCGGTGAGGCTTCGGGGCGAATCAATGGGCTGCCGACGGGTTGGAAGCCGGATGCGGGGCGGGCGGGCGGTCGAGAGGGGCCGGGGATTCCCGGGGAGTATTTCCTACTTTAAAGACCTCGGAGTCCCAAGGGGGGATGGGCAGGGGCTTTTCCTGGGGGATTCAGGAACCCCTAACCTGCGGAGACCATGTGGTTTGGAGAAGTTGGAGGCAGATGTACGAGCGGAGGCTCAGGACGTTTTAGAGGCGAGAAAAGGCTTAACTTTTCAACGCGGTCTCGACGCAGCAGGAGGCTGGTCCCGTGCGGACCGGGGCGCACGCGTCCACCTGGCACGCGGGACTTCTCTCTGCTTTCTCCTGTGACACCCGCTCCTTCCTTTCCGGAGTGACTTGCGGGCGACACAATTCCTCCGCCCTTGATTTCGGTGAACTTTCAAATGGGGTCGAAATCTGCAAGGAGGACTCGGAATAAACTGCATTTGACTCATGTCAACAAAGGGGAGGGGAGAATAGGAGCTCCCAACTAAAAATAAACAGAATGAAGCTGCTAGCAGAGGCGAACGTTAGTAGGGGTTCCGACTTTTTACCGCTGCTTCCGAGGGTATCGGGATATTCTAGGGTGTTTTTTTTTTTAATGTAGCTTGAGATTTAAGTTATAAAACTGAATTCAGTGACTTTAGAGAATTGTAATGAGTTTTGAATTGCAAGGTCTAGATTTTCCCCCCGCACTGCATTCTGTACTTCAAGTACATTGAAAAAGAGAAAGAACGCTCGTTTTTCATCTTTTTAAGGAAAATATTTTGAAAGGGACATTAAATAGGCCATTTTGGACAATTCAAGAGAGCGTTGCAGTGAACTGAGTGGGACTCATCGTTTAAAATCGATTGCTGCCTCCGAACTTACTGCGTGAGGTTTCTTTCTGTTCGTGACAGCTCCTTAATATCGTTGCTCGAGGATTTCTCATTTTTTCAGATTGATTTCAGCGGCTGAAAACATCTATATGCTCTTTTATCATACAGAATGAGAAACCTGTTGATTTCTGAAGCAACTTGGGCTGCGGCTGCTTTAAAAGGTGTTTGTTTTTCACATTTTCCAAATTATACTTTTATTTTTCTTTCAACAGGAAGGAGTCAAGACTGAGAACAACGATCATATTAATTTGAAGGTGGCGGGGCAGGATGGTTCTGTGGTGCAGTTTAAGATTAAGAGGCATACACCACTTAGTAAACTAATGAAAGCCTATTGTGAACGACAGGTGAGGAACTGATGTGCACTTTCACTGAATAAAACTGATTTAAATAAAAAACAAACCTTATTTTCATGAAATAGAAGCTAGACTAGCATGAGACAATAGACTGACTTTGGCGGGGTGAACATGCTTATGTCCTCGATCATACATTTGGTATGCTGATTCTTTGTGAAAACCCCTAGGATGGTTTGGTTAATGTATGATTCTAGTCCTGTTCCACAAGTGCATCATATTATCCTCAAGATGTGGTTGGTTTCCAAGGGAGTACAAGAAATACGAATGAATAAGGTAAATGGTCTTGTCAGGCTCTTTTTTAAAAATATATGATCTTTATATTTTCCATCATTACTATTTAGTACCCTTACACCCCTCCCCCATCTTTTTAATTAAAATTTGACTTAGGTCAAACCATTTTGAGTATTTTAAGCAGTTTGGAAACAATTAAATGTGCACTTAATGACATTGCCATTTTCCTGAACCGTGCATAACTTTAATGTTTTCTTTTTACACTAATAATAAGGGTCATGAAATTTAACCTGAGCCCCAAGCATAAACATTTTTATATTAGAGACATTTGCATTTTACTCAGACAATAGTAACTAGGCATCAAGAAGAGGAAGTAGAAGTGAACAGGTGCTGGGAGGTAAATGCAAACTTTAAGACAAAGAAGCTTCCCTTTGTGATGAGTCTATAACAATGTAACTTTAAAAATGAATTTTGCAAGTATAAAAAAATTCTGGTACCTAGATCAGTTAATACAGTAATAACCTGGCAGACGTATTTTTCTTGCTCAACCCTGAATATATAATATATACAAGTTGAGGAACCCACTCGTTTAGACTAAAACAACTTGTCTACATTGCAAACTTTCCCCAAAATAGCCTCAAAGTAGAATAAGACTTAAACCTGCAGAAGTTGGGAAGTTGAGTTTGAGTTGAAACTTGATCTTCCTCCAAGACATACAAAAGGATTTGAAAGAAACTGAAGGTATAAATTCCTTTTTGAAATTGAAGCTTTATTTTATATCTTATTTATAACATAAGAGAATACTGTGCTTATAATTCTTCCATCTTTATACGTCAACTTTTTTTTTAAAGATTTTATTTTATTTTTAGAGGGGAGGGAGGGAGAAAGGAGAGAAACATTAATGCGTGATTGCTTCTCGCGCGCCCCCTAGTGGAGACCTGGCCTACAATCCAGGCATGTGCCCTGACTGGGAATCAAACCAGTGACCATTCAGTTCACAACCTGGCACTCAATGCACTGAGCCACACTAGCCAGGGCTTCATACATAAACTTTCTTATAAACCCTGACAAAGAAAGACAAGATCTTCAGTACACTCTTACTTGAATTTTGGTAAAACATCCATAACAATTAGTAAATGTATACTAGTTGATTGAGCTAGATTTTTTTGCATGGCATCTTTAATATTTGAACACTAATTCCCCTTCAGGTTACAGGAGATATTTAAGAGCTAAGCATTTTGTAGAACTTATAAGTAACCAAACCTTATACCAAATGGAAACATCTCTATTGGTGGTTTTCAACAAAATTCTCAGCGTATCTTGCTTTAGTTTTTTGTAATTCACTAAATTTTAGCCTTTAAATGGTCATCTTTTTTTCCTTTTCCTTTTTTTTAAGGTTTTACTTATTTTTAAAGAGAGGGGAAGAGAGGGAGAGAAACATCGATGTGTGGTTGCCTCTCACTGGGAACCTGTCCTGCAACCCAGGCATGTGCCCTGACTGGGAATCAAACCCGTGACCCCTTGGTTCACATGCCCCTGCTCGGTTCACTGAGCTACACCAGCCACGGCAAATGGTCATATTTTTTCAACACTTACGAAAATAAAGACATCTTATGTTTCTTATAGAGGCCCTAAAGGATTTTTTTATTTAACTGATAATTACCAGATGCCTACCTTGTGCTGGGGCATTCATTATGCTACGTACCAGGAAAACAAAAACGCATAGCACATCCTCTATTCCAGACTGTCCCTATGGGCGATTGTCCTGTAAGATCATGTTGCTGGAACAGTCAAGAATTTATTGAGGTTTTTCTGCTATGTTAAAATAACTTTGGTGTATTACCCAGTGCATATACAATTTTCCTTGAATTTTTTCAGTTATTAAGCTTATATTTGACTTAGCTTGTTTGGGGCCACTCTTAATTTGCACTACAGGAAAAAGCAGCACTGGTAATTCATAAAAAATAATTCCAGTGCTTATCTGGGAATGCAAACATGATTTGAAGATACGGTTATTTCTATTTTCCTCTTAAATTAGGAAAAATTGTGGAGTTTTGAGACAAGATCCGTATTTTGGTTTCAAATGGTTCCCCACATTCCAAGGAAGTTGAAGTATATCCCAGTTGGGCTGATTCCCCTCTTGTTAAGTGTAGGTACAGGCTATCAAAACACTATATTTCTTTATTAATTTGTATAGCTAGAATTTTTTTTATCTCAGATTAAACATGTAACAGAGCACTGATTTTAATCCTAGAAATCTTTTTCTCTGGTGTCCCCCACGCAGTAGATAGCACCGTTCAAAATCTAGTGCGGTCACAACCTCGGGGTCATCGATGGTGGTGCTTCCTGACGCCTAAGCCATCGGCACATTCTGCTCTCTACCTAAACCCGCTCTGCCCAGTACAGTAGCCACAGACCACGGGCGAGTGCTACTTGCAATGTGACTAGTTCAGATTGAGATGTGCTGTAAAGTGTAACACATGACAGATTTTGAAAATGTTGATTACATAGAATTTTTTTTTATTTTTAATTTATTTTTAGAGAGAAACATCCATCAGTTGCCACTTGCACATCCCCAACTGGAGACCTGGCCTGCTGCCCAGGCACAAGCCCTGACTGGGAATCTAACCAGCGATCTTTGGGTTCACAGGCTGGCACTCAGTCACACCAGTCGGTGCTGAAATAGGTTTTGAATAAGCTGAATTAGAATATTTTACTAAAAGTTTACTTATTTTTAACTTTTAATGTGGCAGGTAGAAAATTTACAATACATGGCTCACATATTTCTGTTGGATATTATAGCTAAGCCTTCAGCCATTTTATTCCACTCTTGCTAAGTTTTTATTTTGGAGAGGTCTCTGATTAATTCAAAGAGCTCCTGTTCCCATCACTCAATCCTCTCATTCTCCTCTGTTTTATTTGTTTAATTGCTCACTGTCTGTATTTGCGTCTGCACAACACACGGAAATTCCGCAGGCAGAGGGCACAGGGCCTCGTTCCCCTGGTTCTCTAGAACCTAGACCAGACCTGGCATATCGAACATGATCAGTAAGTGCTTACGAAATGATGGGGAATGTTCAAACCGGTATTTCCAGAGATCGGGTCCTAAGTCAGTTTTTCATTCATGTGTAGAATCAGGGTTTCCCTGCTTGATAACAGCTGCGTAGCGTTCCGCTGACTGATTCAGAGCATTTCCATTCCGGTGTGGGTTTGCTCCAACATTGCATGGGGTGTCGGGTGGTTTCAGAGAACACAGATTTATTGGTTCAGTCTAACTCATTTTTGTGAAATGAGAAAATGGACCCAGAGAGACAAGCTCACCCAACTCTTCCAACAAAACTCTAAAGCTTAGGGATGAGGTTTATTGAAAGGAGGAACCCAAGTACTGGTTTAATGTAGCTTCTTTGAATTTATATGGTTTATGTAATCTTAGACAAAATTTCTGAATTTTGAACTTGATCACTAGAAAAATCTTTGTTGATGAGGGAAAGCATAAAAACAGGTGTGCTTATACATAAATACAATGGGCTTACATTCTGACGCTGCCTCCCCCTCCCCCACTTTGAAAGGCCACACCATTGACATGGGCTTGCCACTGGGTGTAGTGAAGGAAAAACCCAGCATATAGAAGGTGCTTAGTATTTTCTTGGAGCAAGGAGTCTTCAGTGGGGTGTTCATAAATATAATGCCTGAGGACTAATACTTGGCATTGAATTCTTGGTTGCTTTGTGTAATTGCTAATTAAAACTGAAAGTCACAAGGAATTAAGGTGTGGATGTCACTTGCCTGATGGGGGATTACTTGTGTTCCTCAAGACGCCTTAGTCTGAAAGTGGTGTCAACGGCTAGAGTTTGCAGGAAAGCAGCATGACCTTCATGATACGGGTGGTTCTAAAGACATTCAGCAAATCCTTTTTAAGGGAATACAGGCATTATTCAAGTATTTGTTTGGCACTTTGAATGTTTGTAGTCCTAGGAACTCAGTTCAGTTTTCTCTTAAATATTCATTGAGGTGCAGAGTTTGTGTAACAGTAATTATAATTCATAATTGGAGCATGATCTAGGAGTGACTTTTTGTAAGATGCTTTCTAGAAAGCGGTCTTTCAAGGTAATATGTTTACAGTATACCTCCAGAGACACTTTGTTTTTTATCTTCATTTGGCTGCAGTTGCCAGCAGCTTCCCTGCTGTGTTCCATTCCCCTTTTCCCAGCCCTGTTAGGAAGGTAATGCTTGATAAGTAAAACATTGGAATCCTCTTTTGCAGAAGGGGCATGTTTAGGCTCATTTATTTCCTTAATGCATTTAAAAATTCTCCCTCCTTTTAAAAGATTTTATTTAATTTTTTGAGAGCGGGGAAAGGGAGGAAAAGGGGAGAGAAACGTCAGTTGGCTGCTTCCCACGTACACTCTGACTGGGGGCTGAACCTACAAGCTCAGTGTGTGCCCACACCAGGGATCGAACCAGCAACCTTTTCTTTGCAGGATGACACCCAACCAGCTGAGCCACACTGGTCAGGGTTAAAATTCCCTGTTTATAATCTTTCCCAATTTAATAGCATTAGGTTAACTTATTTTTTAAAATGTTTATTTAGTTTTTAGAGGGAGAGAAACATCTGTGTGTGTGTGTGGTTGCCTCTCGTGTGCCACTAACTGGGAACCTGGTCTGCAACCCAGGCCTGTGCCCTGACTGGGAAAAGAACCAGTGACCCTTTGATTAGCAGTCAGTTGCTCAGTCCACAGAGCCACACCAGCCAGGGATAGATTAAATTTTTTTGATTTTTTTTTTTTAGATTTTATTTATTTTTAGAGAGGGAAGGGAGGGAGATAGAGACATCAATGTGCGGTTGCTGGGGGTTATGGCCTGCAACCCAGGCATGTGCCCTGGCTGGGAATCGAACCTGGGACTTTGGTTCGCAGCCTGTGCTCCAATCCACTGAGCTACGCCAGCCAGGGCCGGATAGATTAATTTTTAAATAAAAAATGAAGCAGTGTTAGATGGCTAATGCTTTTTTTTCCATTTTACTCCATCAGTATTTAGTATTTACTCTTACTATGTGCAAGGAGTACAAGGGGATCACGACAGTCTGGGTTCCTAGTCATTAGGCTTACTTTCTTTTTTGAAGATGATCATCACATTGGTACTAAAAAGAAAATTGAAAAGCAGCTGCTTTCGAGCTATTCCAGGAATGTTATGAGTGGACTGTGGTCTTATGGATGCTTACAGGACAGCCAACTGCCTTGTGTTCTAGTGGAAATGCCCCGGCTTCCCTAGGATAACTTACTAAGTAACTCTCTGTGTGCTCAGCCTTGCGTTGAGTCGGGGCAGAGGTCACTTGTGCGTGGTGGTGGGAACTGTTAGGATAAAAGTGGAGGCAAAGTGGCTTTTAGGCAAAATTTTATTTTAATCATTGCATCTTTGTAGGTGACTATAGTTTTCGTTATTAAGGGTATTTTTCTTTTGGGGAGTTCTTTAACGTACATTGAGGAATATTGCTGTATGCATCTTTTTAAATTTCCTTTTAGTATCTTAAATACACTGCTTGACTCAAGGTATGATCTGTTCAAGCTTGGAGTAGCTATGGTCTCAAAAGCAGTACAGCTTTTTTAAAGAAGACCTTTATTTAAAAAACATTTTTCCAAAAAGAAATCAAATACAGTTTAAAGATAGAGTGAAAGGCACCCTAAATCTTTTTACCCACATAGAAATATTGGTAACATTGTTGATTATTTAGGTCTCAATACATTCATGGCTAAATATACCTATAGTTTTATTTTCCACTGTTTCTCTGCATTCTTACTGCTTTTAAACTCTCTCATCCAGGGTTTGTCAATGAGGCAGATCAGATTCCGATTTGACGGGCAGCCAATCAATGAAACAGACACACCTGCACAGGTAAAAATCTCTTTGTGCTAACCGGAAAAAACAATGTTTTTCTTTTCTTTCCTTTGCTTTTTGTAATTTTCTCAACAGCTTTGTTTATTTGTGAACTTGCAGATGTTCGAATGTAATTTTTTACCTCATTTCAGGCCTATGTAAAATATGGCCAAAGGGGAACAGAAAGAAAAAAATAGGAATAGATTGAGGAAATACCAATAGTTTGAAAATATCTGGTTATCACTTGGTAAAGCTAATAGGTCATTTACTTACTTTAAACCATTTTTTCCAATGTCTGTTTCTTTTGATTTTTTAATTTATTAAAGATTTTATCTTTAGAGAGAGGGAAAAGGGAGGGAGAAAGAGGGAAGGAAACATCAATGTGTGGTTGCCTCTCATGTGCCCTCTAACGGGGACCCGGCCTGCAGCGCAGGCATGTGCCCTACACTGGGAATTGAACTGTAACCGTTGGGTTCACGGGCTGGCGCTCAATCCACTGAGCCACACCAGCCAGGGCGGAAAAATGATTTTTAAGAAGAAACTTAGATTGGAAATTTGAATTAGAGCCCAAGTATTTTAAAAAAGTTTTTGTCACCCAGTAAAAACTAGACAGTGATAAATATGGTGTGAGTAAGTAGCACATCAAGATTGTGGTTTTGCTGATAATCTTCAAAAGTTTGAAATGTCTGAGTTATACTTGATGGGAGAATATTTTGAAGAAATTTCCGTTTGTGAGTGTCTGAGGAGCAGTTACAGTCCCTAGCCACAAGGAGGGGCTGAACTCTCTTGACAAAAGAGTAAAGGCTGTTTTATCCTTTGAAGGCACTTCAAGTTTCACTGCAAAATTTAACGTTCCAGTAATTTATTTCAGTAAATAGTCTGAAGATCTCTTTTGATTGTTTTAAATAATAAAAAGAATCCATTGTGCTAAACTGTGACAATTAGTATGTATTTTCTTTTCTTTTTTTTTTTAAACAAAGATTTTTATTTTTTAGAGTGAGGGGAAGCAGAAGGGAGGGAGAGAAACATCTGTATGAGAGAGAGACATGGATTGGTTGCCTCTTACACGCCCCCCGGGAACCTGGCCCACAACTCAGGCATGTGCCCTGACCGGGAATCGAACTGGTGACCTTGTGGTTGGCAGACTAGCACTCAGTCCACTGAACCACACTGGCCAGGGCTCCTGTTTATTTAATTCTCTTTTATTGATTTGAGAGAGAAACATAGATTTTTGTTGTTTCACTTATTTATGCATCCATTGGTTGATTTCTTGTATGTACCCTGACTGGGGGTCAAACCCCCAACCTTGGTGTATTGGGATGAAGCTCTAACCAACCAGTCTACCCTGGCCAGGGCTAGAAATGTATTTTTTGTCTTATGAAGCCCTCGCCCACCACCACAAGATAATTCTGCAAATATTAAACTGAGGAGGATTTGTTTAGAACTTCATTATAAAATCTTCCAATGAATATGGAATTGAACTCATTTTAGTGTTTACAATTTTAGAATGAAATTGATTTGTTAGAATTGTAATAAATTAGTAAATCTTATCAGCAGATTTTAATAGTGTAATTATTATGTGCCCATGATTCTATTACTTTCTTCTAGTTATTTAATTCTCATAGCTGAATGCTATTCCATTTTACAAAAGAGGGAATTAAGACTCAGTTATTAATATTTTAATTCTTCAGCTCTACTTTGAGTATATTTCAACTTCCTTAGAAAGTTATTTCTTGTCTTTAGGTGTCCAAGTTACTTTTACCTCCAAAATTAACCAGCTCTTAAAAGAAATGCTGTGATTTTTTTTTTTTTTTTAATAAAGATTTCATTTATTTTAGAGAGAGGGGAAAGGAGGGAGAGAGAGAAAAACATCGCTTGGTTGCCTCTCGCACACCCCCCACTGCGGTCCTGGCCGGCGACCTGGGCGTGTGCCCTGACAGGGATTCAGACTGGAAACCTTTTTGGTCTGCCGGCCAGAGCTCAGTCCACTGAGTCACTACAGCCAGGGCTAGGAAGACATTTTCAAGGGTAATTGTCAGCAAAATAAACAGAGCTTATATACTTTATAGTGTTGCCATATGTACCAAAACCTTTCTATTGTCAACATGGTTGTTTTATGTATAATGTGTAAGTAGTGAATCTTGCAAACTTCATTTGTGAATAGCATTTTAAAATTCAAATTAGGTTTTTTAATTAAAATTTAAAAAATACATATTTTTAGACAGAGGGGACAGGAAAGAGAGAGAGAAATATCAATGTGTAGGTGCTTCTCGCACACCCCCCGACTGGCCTGCAACCCAGGCATGTGTCCTGACTAGGAATCGAACTGGCGATCCTGTGGTTCGCAGGCCATAGCTCCATCCAGGGCTAAATTAGGTGTTTTTTAAAAACCAGTGTTTTCTTATCCATTCCCTTCCCTTACTGCATAGAGGTAAGGACTGTTTCGTGCACAGGCAAGGATAGATTCATGTTACAGACAGATACATTTAAAAACACAAATGTTGCCTGGTTTTTAAATTTTGTCTTTAGCCTAACACTAGTATCCTAGAGATATTTTTACTTGTGTAAATCTGCTTATTTTTTCCCATTTTTAATTACATTGATTATACTATTATACTTGTCCTGATTGGTGTGCCGCCCCCCCCCCCGTCTTTGCTCCTTTCCACCCAGTACCCCACACCATTGTTCATGTCCGTGGGTAGTGGGAATTTATTTGGCTACTCCATTTCCTGTACTGTACTTTATAGCCCATGGTTGTTCTGCAACTACCTATTTGTACTTCATAACCCCCTCACCTCTTCACCCATTCCCCCACACCCCCTCCATCTGGCAACCATCAAAATGCTCTCCGTATCCATGATTCTGCCTCTGTTCTTGTTTGCGTAGTTTGTCTTTTAGATTCAGTTGTTGATGGATACGTATTTTTCTATTTTAGTGTTCATAGGTTTGCTCTTTTTCTTTAAAAAGTCCCTTTAACATTTTATATAATAATGGTTTGGTGGTGATCAACTTCTTTAATTTTTTCTTGCCAGGGAAGCTCTTTATCTGCCCTTTGATTCTAAGTGACAGCTTTGTTGGATAGAGCAATCTTGGCTGTAGGTCCAGGGTCCAGTGGCACAGCCTCCCCTATCACCCACGCTGGGTACTTGAGGTGCATCCTTCATGTGGGCTGACTGCACCCTCCTCTTGTACCTCTGAATCTTGGTTGCTGTTAGCAGATCAGTGGGAGGGGTTTGCCCAGGCCAGTCAGCTGCAAGGACTGGCTGTGACCACTGACCACCAACCTCTGCCCTCCTTGGAGGATCATCGGTGCAGGGACAGGGTGGTGGTGCTCTGACGTGGTCTGTAGCTGTCCACTGGGTGCGCTGTCCCTGGGGTTTCCCTGGTGGTGCAGGTCAAGGTCAGTCCCCATTGGTATTCTGTCTAGGGCCATCCTTCCTGAGCTATAAAGCAGTCAGAGATGGCTGCTACCTGGGCTGGCCTTGGAGATCCCCAGGCGAAGCCAAGCTGTGAATCTAGGCTGGCAACTGCAAATGCCGGGCCTGGGGTCACTTAGTAAGAGATATGGGGGGTGCCAGGGTCTCACTGAAACTGGCTGTTGCTTGTTTGAGGGGATTTAGGAAGTTGTGAAACATGAGCCAAGACCAGCCATTCACATGGGGATGTCACTGTTGAACAGGTTATATATTGGGTGGGAATCCGTATCTCCAGGGTAGGGCAAACAATGTTAGCAGGGTTGATGGAGTCTGAGATATGGTACCTGCAGGCTGGATCTGTGGCTCTGGGGCAAGGCTCAGAAAAGGGACAATAGTCTCTGCCCACCTTTCTATCTGGGAGAGAACTGTCCTCCAGCTCCCTCATTGATGCCAGACACTTCAGTTCCTCCCTGTGTGCCACTGGTGCCTTTTTTTTAAGCTGTTCACCTGGTACTGGAGCTCGGAGGCCGGGAGGGAATCTGAGTAAGTCCGTGTATACGTTCTTCGAGGGGAACTGCTTGGGGCCCTGGAAGTTTTTTCCACCAACTCAATCCTGCTTGTTTTTGCAGCCAGGAGTTAAGGGGACTTAATCTTCCTGGCACTGGAACCCTGGGCTGGGGCGCCTGGTGTGTGGCTGGGACTCTGCTCCTGAGACATCTTTCCTGATGTTTTATCCACCACACATGGATGTGGGACCGGCCCATTCCATGTCTCTGCCCCTCCTACCAGTCTGGATGGGTGTGGCTTCTTTAATTCCGCAGTTGTCAGACTTGCATCCAGCTCAGTTCCTGGTGGTTCTGTTTTCGTTGTAACTTGGATGTGGTCGTGCGACGTGAGCCGTGTTTACCTATGCCGCCAGCTTGACCCAGAGTCCCTCTGCTTATTCTTCAATAACAGCTATGTGGTATTTCGTGTATAATTGTATCATATTTCTTTGGGTTTCTATTGATAACTTAGGTTATTTCCTGTTTTTTTGCCCCACGTAAACAACATAGCAGTGAGATCCTTTACATGTGTAATTCTTTAATTTTTAGTAATTGCAGGAGGTGACTTAACTCATAGACATACTGAGGTTTTTCCAAGATTTTATTTATTTTTAGAGAGAAGGGAAAGGAGAAAGAGTGGTAGAGAAAAATCAATTTGAGAAACTTGGATCTGCTGCCTCTTGCATGTGCCTTACTGGGACCTTGCACTTGGTAGGGTGATGCCCAACCAACTAAGCTGCACTGGTCAGGGCAGACATACTCAGTTTTCAGGGTTTCTATAATCTTCACAAAGAAGACCAGGAAAAGGTTACTTAAACCTAAGTCTGATTCTTAATTAGCCTCTGAGATGTTGAAACTAATGAACATTCGAATTGGGTGAAACTTGTGCACCTTTTCGGGATATTTAGGTTTGATAATTATACATTTTTTAACAATTTTATTTACTGATTTGAGAGAGAGACACATCAATTTGTTCCACTGATTCATTGGTTCCTTTTTTTTTTTTTTAAGATTTTATTTATTTTTAGAGAGGGAGAGAAACATCAGTGTGTGGCTGTCTCCCACACACCCCCCCACTGGGGACCTGACCCACAACCCAGGCATGTGCCTTGCTTGGGAATCGAACTGGTGACCCTTTGGTTTGCAGGCTGGAGCTCAGTCCACTTAGCCACACCAGCCAGGGCTCATTGGTTGTTTCTTGTATATACCTTGGTTGGGGATCAAACCCACAGCCTTGGTGTATCAGGAAAATGTTCTAACCAGCTAAGCTGCATGGCCAGGCTGATAATTATAACCTTTTTTTTTTTTTTTTTTTTTTAAGATTTTATTTATTTTAGTTTTAGAGAGGGGAAGGGAGGAATAGTGGGAGAGAAACATCAGTGTGTGGTTGCCTCTCAAATGCACCCCACTGGGGCCTTGGCCCTCCACCCAGGCATGTGCCCTGACTGGGAATCGAACTGGTGACCCCCTGGTTCACAGGCTCAATTGACTGAGCCACACTAGCCAGGACTATAATTATAACTTTAAGAGCTGAATAATCAATGGCTTTCGATTTTTTTCCCTTTATGTTAGTTGGAAATGGAGGATGAAGATACAATTGATGTGTTCCAGCAGCAGACGGGAGGTGTCTACTGAAAAAGGGAACCTGCTACTTTCCTTCAGAACTCTGTTCCTCCAGACCAAGAAGACATTCTCAATTAGAAAACTGCAATTTGGTTCCACCACATCCTGACTACTACAGTATAGTTTTCTCTATTCTTTCATTTCCCTTTCCCCATTCCTTTATTGTACATAAAGTAACTGATGTATGTGCACAACCATTTGCATTAACTAAATGGCCAACGGTATGTTTTGATTGACATCACATGGAGATGGGATGGGGAAAAATACTGGTTCTGTGAAGATACCCCCTTTCTCCGTTAGTGGCATGCTCATCCAGCTCTTATCTTTATATTCCAGTAAGTTATTTTGCTCTCGCTCTTTAACAAAAAAAGAACAACATAAAAATTCTTGCATACCTTGTTTGATTGGAGAATTTTAATGTTTTTCATTTATCATTGTAAAACCAAGGACAATTTTATAACTTTTTTGTACGTAGCTGTTACATGTAGGGCAATCTGTCTTTAAGTAGGGATAAATTACTCTAAAAAAAATGAATCCTAGGTAGTTTTCCCTTCAAGTCAAGCGTCTTGTTGTTTAAATAAACTTCTTGTTTAAAATGAGCTGTTTTGTTTATTCTGAGGAATATTAAATAGAAAAATTGAAGTTTAGGAAAAGACGTGACAATAATAGGTCTGCTACAAGTAACATTTCGAGGAAGAAATAAAGCTACTTTTTCTGACTAGCAAAACAAAAAGTAACAAAGCTGTAGAGATGACCAGCAAAGGATGTTTCAGCCTCCCTAGGCATTTCCAAATAGGCAACTTACCTACCCCAAAAAGGGGGAGTGTCCCAATGCGTGGGTTTACTCCCAACATCCTTTTCTTTAACCACTGCCTGAGTCAGTGCATGAGTACATGCAGCTTGGGAAACGTTCTGGTTTAGCTAGTTATGCTGATAAATTACTTAATCCTTCCGGCTTTTGTTTTGATAAGTAAATGCTCCCTAACCTGAAATAGTCTATTTCTTACAGCTTTATTTATTTTTAAGGTTTTATTTACTGTTAGAGAGGGGAAGGGAAGGAGAAAGGGAGAGAAATGTCCGTGTGTGGTTGCCTCTCACGTGCTCCCAACTGGGGACCTGGCCTGCAACCCAGGCCTGTGCCCTCCCTGGGAAAAGGACAGGTGAGAATTTGGTTCGCAGACCAGCACTCAATCCACTGAGCCACACCAGTCCGGGCTATTTCTTACAGCTTTAGATAGGTAACTACTGTCTTTATTTTTGTTTTTTAAAGATTTTATTTATTTATTTTTAGAGGGGAGGGAGAGAGTGAGAGAGAGACATCAATGTGCGGTTGCTGGGGGCTGTGGCCTGCAACCCAGGCATGTACCCTGACTGGGAATCGAATCGGCGACACTTTGGTTCGCAGCCCGAGCTCAATCCACTGAGCTATGCCAGCCAGGGCTGGTAACTACTGTCTTTGAATTCACTTGTACGGGGAAAGGTCACCGCTATAGAACCAATAAACAACATGACGGCAGGAAAGATGCAAAAAGATGATCTAATTCTAACCTGTTTTAGAGGTGAAGAAACTGAAAGCCAGAGTGTTTTTGTCCCATAGCTAAGTGGTCATGAACTTGGGACTGGAGATCAGTTTCCTGGTGCTTATCCCAGCTGAGTTCTCCAGGACGGGTTCTCAAGGGACCAAATGCCCACCCCACCCCACCCCTTCCCCACCGATGCCACCTGTTTGGGTCACGTGTCCACGTGTGCTCATGCCCTGTCAGCCTCGTTGTCCCCTTGATTCACTCTGCCTCTGTGGCAGCGTAGTCTTTTTTTTTTTTTATGTTAGCCAACCCTGTATAGGATGGGCTTCCCCAGAAACAGGCATTCCGTAGGCATTTTGGCTCTGTTATATATGAGTTAATCTTGAGACAACTGAACTTTCACTTTGCTACCAACCTAGTTTTACAATCTATAATGTAAGACTGCGGGAAGCCTGCCCCCTCGAATTCTCAGAAGGGATCAGGTAAGTGCATTTCTCTGGACTTGCTGCTCTAGGGATTACGAAATAGCAGACTTCTGTGGTATCCTAACTACTGAAGTTAGCAGTGCAGTTCCAGCCAGAGAACTTTCCTATGGAAAGGCTCTTGAACTGGGTTCTCTGGTCAGAGGAGTGTGCCAATACTGAGAGTTTGTGCCTTGTTGGGGGAAGATAAACTTGAAAGGTTTGATGTATTTTTAGAGAGGGAGGCAGGGAGGGAGAGAAACATCAATGTGTGGCTGCCTCCTGCACACCCCCTACTGGGGACCTTGCCCGCAACCCAGGCACATGGGGTACCCAGACTGGGAATCGAACTGGTGACCCTTCGGTTCACAGGCCGGCCTTCAATCCACTGAGCTACCCCAGCCAGGGATCAGGAGGGTAAACTTGAAAATAAATTCCTTCGCCCTGGCTGGCGTAGCTCAGTGGATTGAGCACGGGCTGGGAACCAAAGTGTCCCAGGTTCGATTCCCAGCCAGGGTACATTCCTGGGTTGCAGGCCGGAACCCCCAGCAACCGCACATTGATGTTTCTCTCTCTCTCTATCTATCTCCCTCCCTTCTCTCTCTAAAAATAAATAAATAATAAAATCTTTAAAAAAATGTAAAAAAAAAAGAAAATAAATTCCTTCATGGTAGGAAGACTTCCAGTAGTGTTACAAAGAGCCAAAGGGCCATGTATGGGAAGGCCACTGTGGGATGATAATGGAGGATTTTGTTACCTATATGAACTTCTCTTGCCCATTTCACATAACTTGCTACCAAGACAATATTCTACGGAAAAAAAAATGTATGGAGTACTTTTTAAAAAATCACTGAAAATACATGAAATCGTTAAATTTGTTGGAAATACTAAAAGTAATTTTTGCACTTTAATTGTTTGGCTTGAGGAACACACACATCACAGGAGTCAGGCTGCCATTGTGGGTAATTGTTGCAACAATGGGGCGGAACTCTTCTGGCTACCTTCATATTAATGAGATTGAATGGAAGATGGGAAGGAGTAATGTATTTGGAGAAATGGGAGACTTGGGTGAAAGCGTGTAATTAGGTTGGGGATCTTGACAGCAGCGAGTCCATGGAATCCCAGGATTTGAGGGAGGCCTGGAGGAGAGTTTTTCCAGGGTCTTGGTGTGTGGAAGGGGCGGGCAGTGGGCAGTGTATCGGAGAGGGCCAGCTGTGCAGCTGAGGGTTATTTTTGAGTTAGGATGCTGCTGCTTTTAAACATGACTAACAGTCATTCTGGGCCGTGGTTTCACATTAAAATGCCTGGATGAGCTTTTAAGAAATAGTGTTTCTGCCCTACCCCCAGAAATAAGTGCATTTTCAAAGCAATGTGGAATTGAGAAGCAATTCTGGGAGGAATCCTCTCAACTCTTAAGAGTTAAGCACTTGATGGTAATCTGTGTGTGTTGGATTGATTTTAGAGAAGGAGAGAAACATCAATTTGTTCCTCTTATTTTGCATCCATTTGTTGATTCTTGTATGTGCAGTGACTGGGGATCGAACCTATAACCCTGGTTTATCAGGTCAGTGCTCTTAACTAACTGAGCCACTCAGTTGGGGCCTGTGAAACAGTTTTAAAAGTCCAAGAATTGGCCCTGGCTGGTGTGGCTCAGTGGATTGGTTGCTGGCCTGTGAACAAAAGGGTCACCAGTTCGATTCCTAGTTAGGGCACTGCCTGGGTAGTGGGCCAGATATCCCCAGTAGGACCTTTGGAGAGGCAACCACAATGGATCTTTCTGTCCCTATTCCTCCCTCCCCCTCTCTCTAAAAGTAAACAACAAAAAAGTAAAATTAGCAGTTATTTTTGCTTAGGAGGTGAATTGAAATTCATTTCTAGGAGAGTGGGACAGAATTGTTAGGTTAGAGGCGTTTTTGCTTGTTTATTAAATAAACATGGGATTGGGGAAAGAACAAATGTAAACCACATAATCTTAGCTCAGTCCGAGAAGAGGAAATAATGGGGAGATCAGAATCACGCTGTCCCTCTCTACAACTCAGTGATTGAAAAGGACCTGAGAGGGATGTGTCAGACCTGACAGAGTATATGTACCATTTTGTTTAACTTGGAATAAAGAGAAGGCAAGAACATGACTAAGCTATTTTCCATTTTTGAGACCTGCCCGTGCATTTGTTTAATGGCAAACGAGTCGAAAGGGAACTTGGGTGTCTCAGTGAGCATTGATCTTGCCTGCCCCCCCCCACCTTTTGATGAGGAAATGGCTAAGAAAAGAATGGACAGATGCACACTAAATTTGCCTGTAAGAGTGATGGATGCAGAACTTCTGTGTAAATAGATGCAGTTAAGTCATACGTATGTACGGGTATGTTTACGAGGCACGTCCATATTAAAGGAAAAGTATTAGGGCTTTAAACATTTTCTGACAAGTAAATCTTGTTCGGAACACCATTCATTGTCATGAAGTCAAGTTCAAAAGCACATGGCCAGCATTTTTTTTTTAATACTAAAATAGGATAAAGTATTAAGAATATGTTAAATTGGTTGAACATAAGCAATTGCTATTCTTGTAGATAAGAAATAGTCAGATATAGTTTCGTGTGGCTTGACTTGGTATGTGTGTGTGGGGGAATCTCATGAAAGGCACCGATCTGAGACGTGGGTTCAAACCCAGGTGCAGAATCTAGGGAGAGTAAATCCCAATCGTGAGGCCAGTTAAAGTGCTCATTTCCTCCGACATGCTGGTATAAATGGGCAGGTTGAACTCTCTGGGGATTCAGAATGCTGCCTGGTAGTAGGAAAGCTGGTAACATTTAAGGCAAAAACAGAGACTTGAGAGCTCAGAGGTGCTGAGTGCGTGCTTTGAGTTTAGTTAGCAGTGACTACCTTGGCAGGCACAAGTGATGAGGAACAACTTCCAGATTCTAGGTTGAGTAGCTTGTACACTGCATTCTTGAGTCAAGCTCTCCACACACCTAGCAACCAAATTAAAAACCAGTGGGATGCCTGTTGATATTAAAGAAAAAGTATTAGGACTTGAAACGCTTTCTGACATATTTTAAAGAGTAGATGTCTTGCCAACTGCTTCAAAACAATCATTTTTGTGTTCTGAGCAAATTCTGAGAACGTTGGGTTTACACAAACCTGTTGGGTAAGCTGTTCACTAGCCTTTCTGAATGGAATTGCCCCGGGGGTGACCAGTATAACAGGGAAGAGGCAGCGTGGGACGATGGTAAATTAAAGAGCACTTAATTGCTTAAAGACAGGGAAAGTTAGGAAGTAGGTGGGCACCTGCTCATTCTTCTCCCCTGGACTAGATTTAAAAAGCAGGCGGTGGGTTTTAAAACTGCACCAATTGGAACCCCGGGGTTGGACAAAAAGGCAGGCCGGAAGGAAAGGCCGGCAAAGGACCAGAGGTGGCGGGGGTCACGGTGGGAGACCCGCTCGGTTTCGGTCACGGCTGCTCTGTGGCTAGTTGACCTATTTTACACATTTTGATTCTGCTTCATAAAGGTCTGAACACATTGCTGTCGGTCAGGAAATTCCTATTAGACCGTTCTTGGTCGTGCGATTTCGTGTCTTCTATTTTAGGTTTTAGGTTAACCCGAGAATTTGGAAAAAATCTGTGTTGACTCAGGTGTGTGTGTTAGAGATCACGGTGACGGGCTGCCGATTCTGAAGACGGGTGTTCACATGGCCCTCTCCTTTCGCCTCATGTGGCCCTGACCTGCGTTGATCTTTTGGACAAAACGCAGTTTTATTCATGTCCCATTTTCTTTTTTTTTTCTTTTTTTAAAGATTTTATTTATTTATTTTTAGAGAGGGAAGGGAGGGAGATATATATATAGAGAGAGAAACATCAATGTGCGGTTGCTGGGGATCATGGCCTGCAACCCAGGCATGTACCCTGACTGGGAATCGAACCTGCGACACTTTAGTTCACAGCCCGCGCTCAATCCACTGAGCTACGCCAGCCAGGGCTTCATGTCCCATTTTCATCAGAGCTAGTCACCTGGAGCAAAGGTTATTATAGCAGAGCGACAGATTATATCTGTTTTACCCCAAATCTCTAGCTTACTTAGAAGCAGCAAGTGAAGTGTTGTGATTTTAGTCAAAACCATTATAGCACAGGAGCACATAAATAGGAGGGCTAGTTATTTCAGACATTCCTGGCATTTTACTTTAAAATACAATGAATAGTGCCAAACACGCCTACCTAAAAAGGCCTTAATCTGATGTCTCTTTTACATACATGTATTCTTCATAAATCAGAGTAGAATGAGTGAAAAGCGTTCTCCTGGGTCTGATTTCTTCCCTTTGAAGCAGAGGTTCTCAGTCCAAGCTAGATGTGAGAATTACCTGTTTGACCTTTTAAAGATACCCCTGATGGAACCCTACACCCAGAAGTTCTAATTTAGGAGGTGTTGGGTGGGGCCTGGCTTTCATTTGTATTCCTTAGAAGCTCCTAGGTTGTTCTGATATGCAGCCAGGGTGGGGCACCTCTAGTAGACAGCTTTCATTTAGTAAGTACAACATTCGTCTAATTCGTAACCCCATTTTACAGATGAAACTGGGCTCAAAGGCATAATAGTACTTAGAAGTGTTACATTGAGAGAAAGCTGACCTTGAACCTAGGCCTTTTGATTTCCAGTCCCGTGCTGTATCACCACAGCACCCTGACTTCTACTAGACTACAGGGGTTGGAGGAAGTAAGGCAGGTCAAGGACAAATTCAAAAATTTAGTCCAAAGGGGACCCTAAGGAGGCAGGTGCAAACCCCTCATTTAACAACATTTCAGATTGTGAGTAAGTATGTAATTATTTTCCAAGTAAGTCTTGAGAACCAAAATGGCTATCATTTTGATGACTACTTACGCCAAGCAGTTTGTATGTATTACCTAATCCAGTCCTCACAACTCTACGGAGTCTAGATACTGTTTTATCCTTACTTCACAAATGAGAAAATGTGCTCAGACTAAAACCCAGATTTCTCCCAGGAGAACCCGAGCCAGCAACCACCACACTCCTCTACCTCCTAGTCTAGAATTTCATGATTTTTGAGGAGGGCTTGTATGCTCACTAGCTAGATGTTTCTGACGTGTTTTTGTTTGTTTGTTTGTTCATTATTAAGGCTTTGGAAATTTAGGCCCAGCCTTTAAGAATGGAAAGATTTTAAGAATAAAATTGAATTTTGTGCTTTTGTGGTAAGCACATAAAGACATGATCCGTGCTTTCTAGAAGAGAAGGACTCGCCTCTGGCATTTCCTGAAAGCCCAGAAGGGTAGTTAACCAACGATGAAAACTTCCAACTGCCTGGATGCAGGAGGCCATATAAAGAGGAACGGAGTTCAATTTTTGTGGAAATACTGAAAAAGATCTGCCTTGAGGAAGCACGCATGACTTGAAAAGATCTCCATTCTTTTTTGCCGAAGGCTTTCCCGTTACGATTTTGCAAATAGCCATTCCTGAGGCCTCCCAGTGTGTCTGCATTTGTTGCAGGGATAGACTTACCCAGACAGGTGGAAGAATCATGACTTAAGGGTTATAAACAGCTGCAGAGCTCTGGGATGGTCTTGGTAGCAAGGGATGTGGCCATTTCCAGCCGCCAGGCATTAACCAGCCTTAGAACAGGCCCTCAAATCGGAACGACTGTCATTTTGGTCTAGTGCACGCACCGCCCATGACAGCTAAATAGTAACAAAATGTAAAGAATTTCCAGTCGTTTTAAAAGGGATCGTCTTGATGCTTTTCTGTTGCTGACTCATAATGCTGCTGCTTTGGGGCTGTCAGGTCTCCACACGGGATACAGTAGGTATTCAATAAAAATCAATTTGTAGCTGTAATTTTCAACCCTTATTAAGGAGCATGCCCTTGCTATCCCACCATATGTAAAGCAAATAAGTGTATAGTAACGACAAACCCACCCTGCACTGTGGGTTCCAACTTGCCCAGAGCGAGCTTTCCCCTCTGGCAGGTAACTTTTTTTAAGGGACAGCAGGCATAACTCGTACCTAGCGCTGGGCAGGTTTGGCCTTTGTCCAATCATCTCTGAGATATTGAGGAGGGGGAGGGGGAGCTTCCCCAGATCTTCCCCGACCAGGAAGCGGGCGGGTTTTGGCTGAGCAGGGGCCGCCACAGCCAGTCCTGAGGCAGCACAATGCTTGGCACTCCAGAGAACCAATAGATACCAAGAGAGCTATTTGAATCGGCCAATACCGGCAGGCTGGGGGCGGGGTTATTTCAGCCTTATAAAGGCAGCGGCAGGCCAAGCAGGCGGTGGCGGAGGCTCCCGCAGCGGTCGCCGTCGGTGGGGTGGGGATCTACCCTTCGCCCCTCGGACCCGATCCTTTCAGCGCTTTGCTACCGCGCCAGCCTACCTCGCTCCTCGGCGCTATGACCACCACCACCACCTTCAAGGGCGTCGACCCGAACAGCAGGAATAGCTCTCGGTGAGGCGAGGGGGCCACGCCTGAGCGGCGCAGGGCTTGGGGTCGGGAGGGACTCGGCCCCGCGGGGCCACGCGGGCCAAACAGTCGATCGTTGGTAGTAACGTGCCCGGGGCGCCACGCTTGCCTCCAGCCGGGCGGCGTTGCTCGGCTGCCGGCCCCGCCTTTGTGCCGCCCCTCAAGCCCGGCACGGCGACCCCACCCCGCCCGATTCTTGCTGGTCTCTCATTCATTCCTGCCCCGCAGCGAGTGGACAGGATGGCCCGGGCCGCTTGCCTTTACAGCGCGGCAGGTTGTAAGTTGGGACGTGCCGAGCGGGTTCGTGCACTCCCCGTTTTGGAGTGGCCTGCCGGGCTCCAGGACAGTGGTCTTGGCCCCGGGTGTCCGGGCAGCCTAAGGGGCTCCTCGATCAGGCCCCATTGTCCCACCCTAGGGCCACGCGCTCCTGTCACTAGTTCGGGGCAGGTGGCGGCTGTAGGATCGGTGTGGAGATCAGATCCCGCGGCCGCAGCGATCTGTTCCAGCGGGCTCCTACCCACTGGGGCTGGTCTGGCAGGTGGCATCTGTGGTCAGGCGGGGATGGTCATCGTGCCCTCGCACCCCTTTCTGGGACCTAGCCGTCAGCCCTTCGCGAACTGCCTCCCCTCCGATAACAAAGGAAGACCCCTGCTCCTTCCCTTCCCGCTCCCACCTCCGATCCGGAGGGGGGAGTGCCACAGTTCGAGTGGGTTTTCTGTGCTCAGACCTTTGGACCTCGGTCTTTGTATCCCACCTCTTTTGCCTCCCCCTTTGACGTTTGTTAAATGAGTTCATCCCTGGCCCTGGTTCCCTAGCTGGAGGAGGTTTCCTGTTCTTGGGCGGGGCCGGAGACATCCATTGTCTCTTCCGTGTTCTGTCTCCACCTGGGAAGCGGGGCCTTTCTGGCCACGCGCGCCACTACATTTGGGGAAGGGGACACTGGGCACAGAGTTTGGACGAGGCCCCTTTTCCAAGAGGTTGCCTAACTTGGTGGAAGGGTTCGGATCTGGTGCAACACGTTCACATTGTCTTGGCTAATTGCACACGGCCCTTTAAAAGGTGGGATATAGGCATCTCTGGGATCCTTGCTCAAGGCTGAGAGGAAGCTTAGATTCTACTTCTTCGGGGCATCTGTTCGTCATGGACGGTGACATGCAGTCATGTATGGCCAGCCTTGGGGTCCTGAGCAAGTGGCACAAAGGGAGCCATTTTGTGGGGCTAAGAAGGCAGCCGTGAAAGAGCAGTGTCTCGCAGGGGTTGGAGAACTTGAGGACAAAAGCAGGCCTCCCCAGTGAGTGTCAGGAGGGAGCTTTGGAAATGACATTTCTTTTTTAACTCATTCCTTTCCCGTTCACAATGCAGAAAAAAAAAAACGGGAAAGATTTTTTAAACACTACGCGTGTGGCTCCCGGGAGGCTGGGAGAGGTTGGGTAGTACGGACCTCCGAAACTGCTGAGGAGGGTCACTCCCTCTGCTGTTGTCACCCTTCCAGCGAGATCGTTTGTTTCAGAGGACACGGGGACAAATTGAACCTTGGTTTTTCATTTTGTGCCAGGGGGTCAACTTTCTGCGACTCAGAATGTAGTGGTTGGAGTGTGAATGTGTAAAAAAAAAAATCTGAGGTTTATCCTTTGGGGTCAAGTGCAATTTAGTGCTTCATAAAGGATTTCAGGAACCTGGTCAAAGGAATCCTCAGATGAGTTTTTGGTTATGTGTATTTGGCATGTGAGACCAATGAGTTTTGGTTGTGCAAAAGAAGTGTTTTCACTCACCTCCCATCGTCAGTTTCTTTCCACTATTGTGACCTCAGGACCGTAGCTTTGCCCTCTCATTGACTTCCTGCCTTTCGTGCTGTAGTCCCCCCTCCACGCTCCCCAACTTCTTTCCTCCAGGAACATTCTCCTGGCTCCGTAAATGCCTTATACATTTAGTCTGTTAGGAAATGATCTGCAAAGACCATATGGGAACCCTGGGATTGAAAGAGAGAAGAAAGAAGTAATTTTAAAAAAATTGCTATCTGCGGTACACGGAGACGTTGTTGTTGAATCTCAGATACGTAACCCTGGTTTTGGTACCGCGTGTGTAGCCGAGAAGGAGTAGTAGGGGCTTACAGAGGAAAATTGACATAATTTCTGTCTTATGATTCGAGTCCTTTGTTTGGGGACGTCTGGCTGTTACAAATGGGCTGCACAGCACTGACGTCATCGGAGTGGGTATTACCTGCTGTTCAGAGGGACACAGACCTTGAAAAAGTTGGGCTGGTCGCAGTTTTGACTTTTTTTAAGCTGGTGTTTGGGTACTAGTGTCTTTTTTCTGTCTTTCTTTTTAAGGCCGAAAAATATTTCCTAGTCCATTAGGGTTCTGAAGATTTTCATCTGGCTAAAAATTCGTGAGAGTTTAAGTTATGATCATAAGGGGAAAAAAACCCACTGTAATCTCTGGGGAATGAAAGGGAAGACAATGAAGCAAGTTAACTTTTATGATAATATTTCAAGTATCTTTGTTGACTTGGGGTGCACGTGTTAAAAACCTAGTGCCTCAAACTGTAAAATGAGAGAAAACTCATTAAGGGTTTATAACATACCTTCAATTATGATTTAACAATTTCAGCTAACCTCAAATTATCATCTTTATAAAATACATGCCTGAATACATTTATCTTCACATAATGAATTTAACCGAAGTGGATAGTTAATGTCTGAGACTTTAAAAACAATCTGAGACTTTAAAAACAGTGGGGTTTTAAATCTTTGACAGGTTATAAAAGATTACAGTAGATCTCCTCCCACCCCCTCGGGGGAAGAATGATGACATGTTTATTTAGTGTAAATTGAGCACTGAATTTCACTATGAGCAGACACAAATATCAGACTCAAGGAGGACACTGGAGGACCTATTTAAGAAATACAAGGCAGTCTCAGATTAGAAAACAAGACAAGGAATCAAAGCACCAACGCTGTAGGTTTGTAGTTTAAAGAGAAAAATGGGCTCATGTCAGCGCGCATTGAGCCCACGTTGTGTGCCTGCCAGGAGCGGGCGTCTGGGTTTCGGTTCCTTCTCTGTCCACTAACTAACGTCGGGCAATTGATTAGGGACTTCTCAGGGCCTCACTCGGCTCTCTTAAAAGTGGGGCTGCTGGACTGAACAGAACAGCGATTTTCAAGCGCTTTCATCTCATGGCACACAAACTAATTATTAAACTTCTGCGGCACACCAAAAAGTATATTTTTTTGCTCATCTGACAAAAAACAGATATAATTTTGATTCATTCGCACCAGATAACTATTGTTGGGTTGGCTGTTGTCATTTTTAATTTAAGTGTTTAAAGATTTTTATTTATTCATTTTTAGAGAGAGGGGAAGAGAAGGAGAAAGAGAGGGAAACATCAAAGTGTGGTTGCCTCTTGTGCGCCCCCTACTGGGGACCTGGCCTGCAACCCAGGCATGTGCCCTGACTGGGAATTGAACTGGCGACCCTTTGGTTTGCAGCCTGAGCTCAATCCACTGAGCCCCACTAGCCAGGACCATTGTCATTTTTTTATTTGACGGCCTAAGGGAAACGAGGTCAGTGGCCCTGACTAAATAGGTATTGCGTGTATAAGAAATTCCTGTGGTGTGGCGGTTGCAAAGCGCCGGGCTACAGCCAAGCCTGGCAAACTGCCGCCGGAGTGCCAAGCCCAGCTGGCGTCAGATCTTGACATTTATAAGGGGTAGGTTAAAAAAAAAAAAGACAACCAAGAAGAAGATTTTGTGACTTGTGAAAATGACACGAACATCGGATTTCAGTGTCCATAAATGAAGTCTGATTGGAACACAGCGTCACGCGCTCATTCCTTCACGCACAACGCTGGCAACCGGGAGAGGCTCTGCAGATTTTCACCGCGCGGGTTCCCCCGTTGCCCTTGGAGATCGCAGAGGGCTCTCCTGGTCGGCTTCCTGGCCGGGGTGAGGGTGCCAGAGGCACGGAGGGAAGAGTGGGGACGGGCTCCAGGCGGGAGGAAGTGTGGGAGTGAATGGCCCGCGGTGGAGTCCAGCCAGAGCCGCGTGGAATGGCGAAGCGGCCCGACCGGGTCGGTGCAGAGGACGGTAAGAACGAGGCGTGGTTGCGAGGAGGCTACGTTAGTAGTGAGCAACGTCCGTCTGACTTCCTTCGGTCCTGCTGAGGCTTACCCAGACCTTGCATCTGCTGCCTTGTGGGCAGCGGGGGTAAGACAGGCCATCAGGGCAGGTCACCACGCCCTGGGCAGGAAGGGGCAGTGTCAGGGACCTGAGCCCAGGGTGTCCGCCCGCACCCAGGGGGGCACAGATGCGGGGCTTTCTGTCTGGAGACCCAAGCGGACGCTGGTGTGGACGCTGGTGCCCGGGAAAGGTCACCCGTGATGGCCGGTGTGGGGAAAGCAGTATCGTCGACGGCAAGTCAGGGAACCCTGGGACCCAGAAGTGGACTTTTTAAAAGAATTTTAGATTAATAGCAATACAGAAAAATATGAAGTGTAAGAAGGACGTTGAAACCCACCAGAAGTCTGTGTCTGTTATGGTCATCATCATAGCCCGGGCATGTGACCGCCATGTCCCCGTTACTATTCCAAGCACAGCCTGTATGATGATGTCCTTACAGTCGCCCGACAGGGCAGATAAGTGTTTTCTTTTTATAGGAGAGAGAGCGGGGCGTGGGGAGGTTCAGCAGCTTACCCACGGCCACACGCCCAGATGAGTGTTCGTCTCTATACACATCGTTTTATATCATATCATCGGGCTTATCTTTGTTCTCTAGCCTTTTTTATTCACTGGGTTTTGGGTAACGTTTTGCATCTACTAATAAAGGTAAATCTCACCCGGATGTATACAGCTTTTTTTTTTTTAAAGATTTTATTTATTTAATTTTAGAGAGGGAAGGGAGGGAGAAAGAGAGAGAGAGAGAAACATCAATGTGCGGTTGCTGAGGGTCATGGCCTGCAACCCAGGTATGTACCCCGATTGGGAATCGAACCTGCGACACTTTGGTTCGCACTCAATCCAGTGAGCTATGCCAGCCAGGGCTAGCTTTTTTTTTTTTTTTTTTAAGAAAGTTATTACTGACTTGACAGACAGAGAGGGAGAGAGGGGCGGGCTGATGTGTTGTTGTACGCATTGATGCATTCACGGCGTGCTTCTCGTATGCGCCCTGACTGGGGATCGAACCTGCGACCTGGGTTCATTGGGACGACACTTGAACCAACTGAGCTACCCAGCCAGGGCCTCATGTATATAGCTTTCTGTTGTATGGACAGACTTGGATAACTAACCCCTTACTGTTGGATAACTACGGTTTTCCAACTTTTTACAGTTAATCTATTCTGTAGGTTCTCCAACCTATTCCGTAGGAGTCTCCTTGTGCATCTGTCTGGTTATCGACTTAGAATAGTTTCTGGGAGTGGAAATGCTGATTCATATAAAAGGCAAACTTAAACATTTGGTATAGATTATCAAAATGTTATTTGGAAAGTTTGTACAAATTTATTCTCTCATACCTCAATTAGTGCTGGGAATTGGCATTAGTTTCATCTTTGCCAGTCTAATCATCAAAAAATAAAAATAAAAACAAAAAGCTGTCACTTTGTTTTACACTCGATCTTAGCCAAAGGGCCAAGAGGCAATTATCACCTTGTTTTAAAATTCATGGATTTGCTAGTGAGGTTCAATTTTTAGTATTTAGAGGCTGTCCGTGTTTTTACATTTCCTGTTAGTAACTTTTGCCCATTTTTTCTCTTGTTATTTTTTTTTAAGTATTTTTAAGAGCATTCCATATACTAGCCATATTATTATCCTTTGTCAAATGTTGTGTATGTTTTTGCCAAGTTTAATCTGTTCATCTTACGATTTCTGGCCTTCATCTTATCCTTGGAAAGAAAGCTCCTTTCTTCAAAACTAGGACACACTGATACATAATTTCTCCCAGCATTTTTGTTTTAGTCTTTAAATTGAAATATTTGACCTAGCTGGAACTTTTTGGTAAGCGAAGTGAGTTAGGGATATATATTTTGTTTGTTTAATCAAATGACTAGCCAGTTAATCCAATGCCGTTTTCCCCACTGATCTCAATACTCCGGTGGCAAGCTTTTTGAGAGAGAACTCTGTATCTTGACAGAATTCTGAGGAGAAACTGAGAAACCCCCATTGTAGTAGTTGTTGACAGATTCTCTCAGTAAGTGATAGAACATTTAATTAGATTTGAACAGCTCCATTAACAAGCTAGGTCTACTGGGTATATAGAATATCGGCAAATACACATTCTTTTCCAATCATATGTAGAGATTTACAAAATTGGCCACATACTAGGCCACAAGGCACATCTCATCACATTTCAAAGGATTTATGTCATAGAACTTTTGTCTGTCTATGTTATAATTAAAAGTTAGAAATCAATAAACTAGGTGACCCCTATATTTGGAAACTTAAAATGCACTTCTAAATAATGTATGTGTCAAAGAAGATAATGACGGAAATGCAAAAATATTTAGAATGGAACCATAGTAAAAAAAAAATCAAAACTTGGGAATGCCTTTAGTATGGTTCTTAGAAGAGAATTTATACTTTCAGTGTTTAATTTTTCCTTTGTTTTCTAACATAAGGAGCTGAGTTTACAACTGACAACTGTATTTATTTGGAAACTTGGCTGAAATGAACATATTCCTAGAAAAATGTTTCTGATTCAAACTGACTTCGGAAGAAATGGACAGCAGACTGCTCCTATCCCTAACAAAGGAATTGAACCAGCCCTGGCTGGTGGAGCTCAGTGGATTGAGCAGTCAAGGGCACAGGCCTGGGTTGCAGGCAGGTCCCCAGCAGGGGGCGGGCTAGAGGCAGCCACACGTTGATGTTTCTCTCCTTCCTTCCCTTCCCCTCTCTCCTTCCCATTCCCCTCTATGAATGAATGAATGAATTGAATTGAATTGAATCAGTAAATGGAAAATCTTCCTGTAAAACCATCTCCATTTTCTATGCTCTGAGAGGTGCCAGGACAAGTCAGATTGAGTTTTTCCAAGGAGGGGCCAGAGGAGCTAGCCTGCGGCAGGAAGACCTGAAACCGCGCGAGTACTAGACTCCTTGCTGGACAGAAAGCTGTGAGTGCACGGTGCCCAAAGGTGCGTGGAGAACGTGCCACGGACCTGACTTGTTTTCTCTTGCTGACTCTCCCCCGGTGGCCGGCCACTCCTGTTTACCAGTGACAACAGTGAGGTGCAGCTGGATTCAACAGGGCTTGTCCGTGATGGGGAGAAAGGGGAGACGCTTTAGTATCCCTTGGCCTGGGCTTCTGCATTGGCCTAGTTAACTTTTTTAAAAAGATTTTATTTATATTTAGAGAGAGAAGGGAGAGAGAGAGAGAGGGAGAGAGAGAGAGAGAGAAACATCAATGTGCAGTTGTTGGGGGCCATGGCCTGCAACCCAGGCATGTGCCCTGACTGGGAATCGAACCTGCGATGCTTTGGTTTGCAGCCCGCGCTCAATCCACTGAGCCACGCCAGCCAGGGCTATATGAATATTCTTCTATTTTTTATTTCGTTGAGAGTAAAAAACAGAAACATAACCACACGTGCACCTGAACTCCTTTGCACATACAGGATGGGGCAGAAGTGGGCTTCCAGTTGTTCATATGGAAAATCATACAATAAAAAATACGCAGGAATCAACTGTTTCTAGTACTCACAACTGTCAACCTCCTCCCACCCCCCACCCCCGCCTCCAGCTGAGCCCAGGAGGCGCGGTCCCTCAGGTCCTTGGCCTTGTCCCGAAAGGGCCCGCCGGCCAGCTGTTGCCTGCGATGGCCATCGGGCGGCCTGACGACAGTTGTCGTGCGTCCGCACTTCGTGTCTGAGCGCCCGGGGCCGAGTGGGGACCCCGGGGCCTCGGCTCCCTTCCCCATCAGCCGCGCTCCTGTCTGGGAGGGAAGGGGGAGGAAGGGGCGAGGGCAATGAGGGCAGAGGTGTTGCACGACATTTTTGCCACGAAGAATGTTTCGGTGTGAAACCCACGTCTCGTCGCTGCTCCCAGGGTGCTGCGGCCTCCGGGTGGCGGGTCCAACTTCTCGCTGGGCTTTGACGAGCCCACGGAGCAGCCGGCGAGGAAGAACAAAATGGCCTCCAGCATCTTCGGGCCCCCTGAGGAGAACCCCCCGTCGTGGGCCAAGGCGGCAGGTACGGGCTGGGTCTGCGGCCGCCGGCCGAGCGGGGGCGCCCGGGGTGGGGACACCCGCGGCGGGTGGAGGGCCGGCGAGCGACCCCTAGCGTCATCGCCGAGAGACGGACAACAGCGAAGGCTCCACGTGTCCACGTGGGTGGGAAGACGGGGACCGAACCTGGGGACAGACTGGGAGAGTCCGGGGGGTGGGGGGGGGGTGCGGATCGGAGGAAGGATCGGACACCGGATTGGTGCGTTCAGTGCCTCCGCCACAGGCTGGAGCCACCGCTCACCCTCGCCAACGCTGTTGGCTCGTTTTGTAGTAGGAGACCCGCACAGAGCGCGTCATTCGCTCGAGAGGCGTCTGCTGCAGGTCCCGCTGCTGCATCCCTAAAGCGACTGTGTGTTCTGATGCAGGTGCCAAGGCCAGCGGCGGCAGGGAGGACTCGGAGCCTGCCGGACCCCAGAGAAGGAACTCTTCCGAGGCGAACTCCGGGGACTTCTTCGATCTGAAGGTCGGTGTGACCACACGGGCTGCAGACAGGCTCTGAGGTCAATTCTGCTTTGAAATCAGATCCCTCCCCGCCCCCTGTACTAAGAGCTTCGGTTCTGCCGCTGGAGGTGTCCATAGGGGTTATTAGGGAAGGGACGGGGGCACATTGCATATTGGCGACGGGAAGATTAAAGGGAGGGAACTCAGAGAGTGAGTCAGCGTGATCTTGGTCTGTTCTTGTTCTTGTTGTTGTTGAAGATTTTATTTATTTATGTTTAGAGAGAGGGGAAGGGAGGGAGAAAGAGAGGGAGAGAAACATCCATTGGCTGCTTCTCACACTCGCCCAACAGGGGACCGGCCTGCCCGCGAGGCCTGTGCCCTGACCGGAAATCCGACTGGTGACCTTCCACTTTGCAGGACAGCGCTCGGCCGGCTGAGCCACGCCGGTCAGGGCGATCTCGGTCCCTCCTGATGTCTGGTCAGCCATCAGGGCTGGCCTCCGCAGTGCTGATTTTTCCAGCTTCTGGGTCACACTCACTTCCGAGTATCTCGTGTGCACGTAGGGCGGCGTCTCTGAGTCCAGGGACTGTTTCCGCTGTTGGTAGATGTTGCGCGTTTGTCTTGAGCTGAACTCCGGGGCTCTGCAGCGCCGCCCCCCAGCCCCCAGCTGAGTGTCGGGAAAGCCTGGGAGGGGGTCCTGCCGAGTGGGGGTCTCAGGGCACGTGGAGGCACCGGCAGCACTCTGGGTGCAGGGAGACGTGCAGAGGGGCTTTGAGGTCGTCAGGTGCCCTTCGGCCCCCAGGTGAGAGGGAAGCTGGAGAATGGAGGGGTAGACCTGCCACTTTCCCGGGCTGATACAAGAGCCTCTGAAATGCTCATTGCTACAGGTCAGCAGTGGAGATGTTAACATGTTTTCACTTTTAATCTGACTTGTGTGGCTTGGCAGGTTGAGTGTTGACCCTCAGACTGAAAGGTCACTGGTTCGATTCCCACTCAGGGCACAGGCCTGGGCTGTGAGCCAGGTCACCGGCTAGGGGTGTGAAAGAGGCAGCCAGTTGATGTTTCTCTCGTGCATCAGTATTTCTCTCCTTCGCTTTCTCCTTCCCTCCCCCTCTCTCTAAAAATAAATGAACAAAATCTTTTTTAAAAATTAAATTTATTGGGTAGGTGTTAAGTTTCTTTTTGGATTTTGGGTGTGTTATACTGGCCCTGGGGCAGTCAGTCCAGTGGCATTTTCGTGCAGCATTGTCCCCCAGTTGAATAAAGGTCGCTTATTGTCATGTAGCCCGACCCTGACCTTGACCGAGTCAAAACGAAAACGCTTGGCTTCCCAGAGAGAGTAGTCTGTCTGAACTGTGACTGCTTTGTTTGTATGTTGCAAACTTAAAATCCGAAGTAAATGTTTAATGTCTTTTCTTTTCTAGGGAGAAGGTGACATTCATGGTGAGTCCTTCTGAAGCCCAAATTTCTGGTTCTGTAAATGGTTTTAGAATGGGTTGGAGTTCTGATCCCAGTCACGTGCTGGGGAAGGCGAACCTGGCTGTGCCCGAGTGCCAGCGAACTCTGGGTGGAGGGGACAGACCATTGGAACAGGTAGGTTAGCCAACGCAGCCGCACTAGAAATGCGCAGAAAGGGGGGGAATGCCAACATCCTTTACTGGGACACTGACCAGGTTGGCGTTGGTTGTCCTTAATGACAGCTTTTTAGTAAAGGGCTCTGGCCGTTCAACTTGGCCCAGCGCGTTTTGTTTGATTTTTATGCTGAGGTGCTTATTAATTCATCGGGACAGCGGGAATCCTGTGATCTTGTAAATTAGGATTTAGGGAGGCGGATGTGAATTTTTACTTAGCATCCATGTGGGTATGAGCTATTATCATGTACTTAATTATTTTAAGTCTTCAAAGTGTTTATTAACCCTTCCTTAACAAGTGTGGCAGGACTACTGGCCAGGGTAATGCAAAGCTGATACAGCTCAAGCAGTAGCCGCCGGATTCAAGGGGGACTCCGTGAGATTCCACCGCCACAGGCCCCGCGGGCCTTGTCCTGCCAGGGAAACGAATGTCTAAGAACCACATTCCTCCTCTGTCCTCTCAAAGGGTCTTTCTTTTCTTTCTTTCGTTTTCTTTCTTTCTTTCTTTCTTTCTTTCTTTCTTTCTTTCTTTCTTTTCTTTTCTTTTCTTTTCTTTTCTTTTCTTTTCTTTTCTTTTCTTTTCTTTTCTCCTTTCTTTTCTTTTCTTTTCTTTTTTTTCTTGAATCTTCACCTGAGGATATGTTTACTGATTTTGGAGAGGGGGGGTGGCGGAGAGAGAGAGAGAGAGAGAAACATCAGTGTGAAACAGAAACACCCCTTGGTTGCCCCTCATACTTGCCCCAACCAGGGATCGAACCCGAACCCTTTGGTGTACGAACACGCTCCAGCCAGCTGAGCCACCCAGTCAGGGCCAAAGGTCCTTCTTGATGGAGGTGGGGGCGGAGGTCCTTCCGAGCCTTTGTGAGTGTAACCTGGGCCTGCCCTCAGCGGACACATTCCCTTTTCCCTGGACTGAAGGGGGACTTGTTTTTGTTCCTGTCTGATTTGTTCCACTGAGAAGAGTGCTCTGGAGGTCAACTGTCTTCTAGGCTTTTCGATTCCGCTGCTTTTCACATTCTGAAATGTTTCTCCTGTCCGACCTTATTTAGCCGCAATCTTTATTCCTAATTTTGGCCAATGATTAGGAATAGAATTAGGGACTTGGGGAACCCTGAGAAGTAGCTGAGAGTCCTGATGAAAATGAAAAACTGTGTCATTTGTCCTGCTGAATAATAATGCCCCCGGCTCAATTTGTTACAGATTCTTCGGGAAGACAGCACATTGAATTGTGCAGTGTGACAGGTCCTTCCTCTTTTTGTTATTTAATGGCCGTCCGTGTTGCTGCCGGATTATTTTGTGTTCCTAACTGCTGCTACTTTTAGCTTATCTGTCACAAAATGAGAAGGGGTTGTGATTTCCAGTGATCCAGATACATCTGGTGGAGTGGAGGTCAACCCCAGTTCTGCTGCCAAGTTTACTTCCGAGCCCCACTACTCTGCTCGGTTTACATAGAACAGCTGTGTTTGGGTATGAGGAAGGCTGTTTTCATCTTCGGGGTAAATACAGGAACGGCCACGGGGAAGGCTTTGGAAATCTACTGGGTTGGCCAAAAAGTTCTTCTTCTTTTTTTTTTTTTTTTTTCTGTACGATGGCTCTAGTAATGCTTAATTGTCTTTAATGTCATTCAAAACAATTTTGTTAGATTGTGTTGTGAAAGATGTAGTATCAATGTGCATTAAAAGAAAATCAAAATTGCTCTGGCTGGTGTAGCTCAGTGGATTGAGCATGGGCCAGTGAACCAAAGTGTCACTGGTTCGATTCCCAGTCAGGTTACCTGCCTGGGTTGCAGGCCAGGTCCCCAGTTGGGAGCATGTGAGGGGCAACCATACATTGATGTTTCTCTCCCTCTCTTTCTCCTTCCCTTCCCCTCTCTCTGAAAAATAAATAAATTCTTTAAAAAATCAAAATTGGTGAATTTTTAAAAATATATACTTTATTGATTATGCTTTTACAGTTGTCCCATTCCCCCCCTTTATTCCCCTCTGCCCTGCACACCCCCTCCCACCCACATTCCCTCACTTTAATTCATGTCCATGGGTCGTACATATAAGTTCTTGGCTTCTACATTTCCCATACTGTTCTTACCCTCCCCCTGTCTATTTTCTACCATCTATGCTACTTATTTCCTGTACCTTTTCCCCCTCTCTCCCCCTCCGACTCCCCAACTGATAACCCTCCATGTGATCTCCATTTCTGTGTTTCTGCTCCTGTTCTAGTTGTTTGGTTAGTTTGCTTTTGTTTTTGTTTTAGGTTCGGTTGTTAATAATTATGAGTTTGCTGTCACTTTACTGTTCATATTTTTTATCTCCTTTTTCTTAGATAAATCCCTTTAACATTTCATATAATAAGAGCTTGGTGATGATGAACTCCTTTAACTTGACCTTATCTGAGGAACACTTTATCTGCCCTTCCATTCTAAATGAAAGCTTTGCTGGACAGAACAATCTTGGATGTAGGTCCTTGCCTTTCATGACTTGGAATATTTCTTTCCAGCCCCTTCTTGCCTGCAAGGTCTCTTTTGACAAATCAGCTGACAGTCTGATGGGAACTCCTTTGTAGGTAACTGTCTCCTTATCTCTTGCTGCTTCTAGGATTCTCTCCTTCATTTTTACCTTGGCTAATGTAATTATGATGTGTGTGTTACTCCTTGGGTCCAAGTTCTTTGGGACTCTCTGAGCTTCCTGGACTTCCTGGAAGTCTGTTTCCTTTGCCAGATTGGGGAAGTTCTCTATTATGTTTTCAAATAAGTTTTCAATTTCTTGCTCTTCCTCTTCTCCTTCTGGCTCTCCCATGATTCAGATGTTGGAACATTTAAAGATGCCCTGGAGGTTCCTAAGCCTCTCCTCATTTTTTTGAATTCTTGTTTCTTTGTTCTTTTCTGACTGAATATTTCTTTCTTCCTTCTGGTCCACTCCATTGACTTGAGTCCGTTTCCTTTCCATCACTATTGGTTCCCTGTACATTTTCCTTCATTTCACTTAGTGTAGCCTTCATTTTTTCATCTGATTTGTGACCAAATTCAACCAGTTCTGTGAGCATCCTGATTACCAGTGTTTAGAACTGTGCATCTGATAGGTTGGCTACCTCTTCGTCACTTAGTTGTATTTTTTCTGGAGCTTTGATCTGTTCTTTCATTTGGGCCATTTTTCTCGTCCTGGCGCACCTGTTACGTAGTGAGGGGCGGAGCCTTAGGTGTTCACCTGGGCGGGGCAACCCACGTGGTGCGCTTGTGACGCTGCGTGTGGGGGAGGGTCCAAGAGGGAACAGTGGTGCTTGCTCTGTTCTCTGCCTGATTTCAGTCACTTCCCCCGATTCCCACAAGCAAACTGGGTCCTTCTGGTGCTGGTTCCTGGGTGGGTGGATTTGTGTGCGTTCTAGGACCCTGTGGGTCTCTCCAAACAAACTCTCCCGTGAGGCTGGGAGTCTCTCCTGGTGCCGCAACCCCCACAGGTGTTTTCAATCGGTGGTTTGAGGCTGCATTTCCCGGCGCTGGGGCCCTGGGTCGCGCAGTCCGTCCCGCTCCCCAGTTGTTCCTCCCGGTTTATCTGACCGTGAACATGGGACCGCCGGGTCTGCCAGCCGCGGCCTCGCTGCCGTCCTCTCCGCTCCGGCCGCCTGTCTCCGCCCCTCCATCCGGCCCGGGTGAGTGTGTCGTCTTTACCTCCTTGGCCGTTGGACTTCCATACAGTTGGGTTTTCTGTCAGTTCTGGTTGTTTCTGGTTTTTAAATTGTTGTCGTCCTTTTGGTTGTGCCAGGAGGCACAGTGTGTCTACCTACGCCTCCATCTTGGCCCGAAGTCCAAAATGGGTGAATTTTTGTGTAGCTATTTTAATATTGAAGATGATAGAAAAGAAACAGCATTTTCGGCATGTCATGCTTTAGTATTTCAAGAAAGATAAATACTCGACTGAAACACGCATTTCAATCTGTGCAGCATATGGAGAAGGTGCCGTGAGCGATGGAACGTGTCAAAAGTGGTTTGCGAAGCTTCGTGCTGGAGATTTCTCGCTGGACGGTGCGCCACGGTCGGGTGGACCAGTTGACAGTGATCAGATCACGACATTCATTGAGAGCAGTCAGTGTTAGGGACACACATTGTCACACAGCAGATAGCTGGCATCAAAATATCCAAATCAATAAGGTTATTGGTGAAATGAAAAATGTGTCTTTTATTTTACGGGAAAAACTAAATAGACTTTTTGGCCAACCCTATATAAGAAGAGGGAGACAGTCCAGGAAATTTAGGGCCGAAGTCTTTCCCTGCCTTCAGGCAGGCTGCATTTTCTTAGGTTCCAACTCTCTGACCCTTACTGGGAGTCCTGTTTTCCTGTGCTGACAGCGGTGTCTGTTCAGTTCCTTCACTGACCCCCTGGAGAAGGAAGGCAAGTCAGGAGTCTAGAAGGCGGATGTTATGGTAGCAGTACTTCTGCTTAACGCCCTTTAAAGAAAATGATTAGGTTCAACAGACAAAAGCTTTGTGAAGTTGCTCTAGAAGTTTCTAAGCCCTTACTCTCAGTTCCTTATTTCCTTGCAGACTTGATGAGTTCAAGGAGCAAGCAAACCTGCATCTTTTCTGGCGGGAGGATCTATTTCCGACCCGTGAGCGTTTAAGTTGAGGCCTGCTGTTTTTTTAGTTTCCATGTGTGCATTTTTTTTTCTTTTTTTGGTATGTCACCTCCCTGTGAAAGACAGAAAGAACTGTTCCATTAATAATAAAAGACAAGTCGATTGTTGGAAATGAGCTCGATTTCCCTAGAAATCACTTTCAGGAAATTAACTGCCTGCCATGACAGAGCGTTCATTCACTGCCCGGCTCAGACGGACAGCGGGGAGGTCAGGTCCCGGCGGCAGAAACGGGACGGCTCACAGCGAGCTCGTTGGCTTGGCCCGAGTTCCTGGTCTGTGTTCGCCTGTGTCAGATTGTTTTAAAGTGTGTGTGTGTGCGCACGTGTGTGGAGGGGTGTTGTTTGTATGTGGAGCACGTCGGACGTACCTCCCTAGGCTACGTGAGGGGCACAGGGCTTGGGCACTCCGTGTTGGTGCGTGTGACCCCCCCATCGTGCAGCGGGAGTGTGGCGACAGGCATTTGAAAGCGGCCCTCTCCCCCTGAGCTTCGGTCTGCAGCCACGAGGGCTGTCCCCTTGGGAGGCGTCCTCCAGGGTCTTTGCCGCCAGCTCAGCACTGTGGATGGAACCTGGTGTTGGTCGCATTGTGTTGCTTCTGTAGGCCGTTCCCCAAAACTCACAAAATGTGACGTCAGAAGCAGCAGCAGTGCATTTCTGGGATTTTTGTCGCGTTCTGATCCGAAACCCCTTCCTTCCCCCTTGGACTCGCGGTTTCTGTCGGCTAAATCAAAACCTGGTACGAGTGGTTTTAGGGACGTGAATTTTTAACGTTTAGTTTTTGAGGAACTTAGAGAAACTGCATTTTTTTCAAAGCTGGAACTTTTCACTGGTGTCCAGTGGGGGTCCGTACAGAGGTCTGACCCTGGACGCATCCTGACCGATAGTTCGGCTTCCCCCCTTCCAGGGTTTCGGAACTGCCAGACGAGGGACGGGGTCAATGCCGGGGTCAATGCCGGGGTCAGTGCCGGGGTCAGTGCCGTTAACCCTTACGGTCATCTTCTCCCATGTCTTCTAAAGGTGTCTGTGTGTGTGTGTTATCCTAAGGCAGGTGTTAGAACATGCAGTTGGACGTGGTATAACACCACAGTGAGGCCTGGCATTTAAAAAAAATTAAAAATAAATATGGTGCCTTAAAACTAATGAACTCTTCATAGAAATTTTTTTCCACAGAAAATACTGAGTTTTTTCTTTTGCAGTTACTCCTGACTTTGAATACCAGACTTGTCTGACTTTGGAAACTAGCCGGTTAGGAATATAGGCTTGTTGGGAGTCTCACAAATCAGCCCGTGAATCAGCCGAGCAACATCCAGGATACCGGATGATAACACACAGTCTGTAGAGACTGGAATGTGCAAGGTGCCCCTTTAGGAAGACATGGGGGCGACCTGGGCAGTGGGGATGGTACTGCCAGTCGGGGGGGACACGCAGACTCTTTGGTGTGTGTTGATGGCTCGCCGGCAGTCTGCGTAGTTCAGGTCAGCCTCGCCCAGTGACCGAGGACACGTAGCAGAAAACGGGAACGCAGTGACACTTTCCACCCATCGGTGTGGCAGACATTAAAGTGAGGTGGTCATCAAGTGGGGGCTGTGCAAAGGTGTAAGGAGGGTGTTCTTCAGCGTGGGCTGTGGGGCGGCAGGTGGCAGGGCCACCCGGGAGGGCGGGCAGGGCGGTGAGTCGTGTCTGCCCAGGTCGAAGACGGGGTCCCACCCGGGGACGTGCCTCACAGCCTCCTCCGGAGTGGCTGGGTCGGTTCCCGCTTGTTGCTGTTGCTGGAAGGTTGCACGGATACCTACTGTATATGCACACACAGATTATGAAGCAGTTCAGTGAAGCAAGGTGAATTATGACCATGTGTGTAGATAATGGGTAAATTTGCCAAAGAGTGGGAAAAAAAGCAAGCTGATATGGTTTATGTTAAACACAACGCAAATGGTGTTATATGTCACCTGTTGGAAATAAAACACACACAGAACACGCGCGAAACAGACGGGCTGGGGGAATGCAGCCAGCCAGCCGAGGGGCCTTGGGGCAGGGCCTGGGGGCGGGGCGAGGAGACCCGCGTGGGCGTGGATTGGGGTGAGGGACCTGGAGCTTTGTCCATGGGGCTCAGCTAATTCAAACCATCCGCGCCCTCACGGTGTGCGTACCTGAGACAGAACGCACGCAGGAAAGGGCCCTGCCCGGGGACAAACGGCGGAACGTGAGCGGTGGTTACTTCTGGGTGGTGGGAACGTGGCCGGTGAGTGTCGCTTTCTTCTTGACATCTCCAGGTCTGTGTGGAGCCCTCCTCAGAGAGAAATATCTTAGATAGATCCTTCGTCCCCCCCGGAAACAGTTAGTAGCCTTAAAATGTCATTCTATCTTCCTAGAAAACGTGGACACAGACTTGCAGGCCAGCCTGGGGCAGAGCGAGGAGAAGCCGGTGCCCGCCGCGCCTGTGCCCAGCCCGGTGGCGCCGGCCCCGGCGCCGTCCCGAAGGAACCCCCCCGGGGGCAAGTCCAGCCTGGTCCTGGGCTAGCTCCGGCCGCCGGCCGCCGCCCTTCCGTTCGTGTCCTCCATGCTTGTGAACTGCACAACTCGAGCCTGACTGTACGTCTTTCGGATTTGTTTCATTAAAAAAGAAGCACTTTAAGTACTGCTGTCTTTTTGTTTTGTTTTGTTTTGTTTTTTTCCTTTCCCTTTTGAAGAACAGGTTCTCTGATCTGTCCTGATCGCTCTGGGTCTGTCGGCCATGGCATGGTGTTCTCTAGTGGTAGGTTGGAGGGAAGCTTTGTGGCCCTTAGTATTGTGTTTCTCGGAACGAATAATTTGGCTCCCAATCTGTCAGAGGATCTTCTGTACTGAGGTTTGTAAACCCCTTTTCCTGTCAGCTTTGCTTGGGTTTACCAAGCCTGTGGGCAGGCCAGTGGACAGGCCACACACAGGCAGCGCCCCTACGGGCCCCCGACACAGGGCTGTCTCCACGCCGCGCCCTCTCGGCGTGGCCCTGACGGTCCGCGCCCTTTGCTGAAAGCGTCCTCCTGTGCCGTGCCGAACCACGGAGAGGCCTGCGCCTCCTGCCGTGCTGCCTGCAAAGCAAAGAAACTGCCTTCTCTTTCCGAACCTTAAGAAGCAAGCCAGGTACGAAGGTGACCGGCCCAGGAGCCAAGCCTCCTTGCACGGAGGAGCTGACCGATTCCGGGCGGTGACCGCACAGGGTGGCGGTGGCGGGGGGGTCTTCGTCTTCACCGGACCCCGCCGGGGCGGCAATGCTCGGAGGGGACCTGCAGCTGTGTGCATGACGCTGGTGCTTGCCCGTGGAACAAACGAAAAGCCTCGCCCTCAGAACATGTGTTGTCCTTCACAATCCCGGACTGTTGCTCAAAGTAAACAATGTACACATTTGGAAACACTGTGTGTCCTGTGTCATCCTTCTGAGACCGCGTTCTGCCTGTTGGAGCGCGCTTTCCCGCGTTACCCTACTCCCGCTGCTCGGTGGTGTGAGGGGTCATTCAAGGTAAACCAGCGAAGGCGCAGACACAAGCGGGCCGCTCCCCTCCTGAAGCTGCAGGCACAGCAGGTTTAGACTCGTAGTACGAGTTCCAAGTGCCAAAAGGATGACTAACTGATATCTGTGGTAATGAAATTCAGGCATAAGAAGACGAATCGATGGCCCAAATAATTAGTCGCCAGAATATTCTGGGCTCAAGCCCTCTCACCACCTGAGAGGTGCTTCTCAGTGGTGGGTGGGCAAAGGAGCGTTCCGGGGAGAGGAAGGACCCACATCATTAGAGGAGGACAGGAGGGGAGGGGAGGGGAGGCCCCTTGAGTGACACGGGGACACCTGAGCTCTAGGGAGAAAGTTCCAGGTCAACAATATTAAGTGTCTAAACTGAGCATTATCAAGACTTGACTTTCAGCAACGACTATGCTACTGACCAGCTGTATTCTGTCGGCTTGTCACTGGGCCTCGATTTCCTAGCTTATGAAAGGACCCCTTTGGAGTCGGTCACCTCTAACCCCTTTCACGACTGAGATGAGTGTGCTGTGTGACCACAGAGTCATTGGAACTAGTGGGCATCTCTGTGGGAAGAAGAAGGGTGTTTATAGGCTGTGCGTGTTAAGTTTTTCTTCGAGTGGAAAGCGTGCTAGCCTGACTTGCGGTATGGAGTGTGACTGTGGAGGTGGGGGCTCCTGGAGAAGAGATGTCCTCGCTTCGTGTATGGCTTGTGATCTGGAGTTAATTCTGTGAAGAGAAATGCCTAATCCAAAGGGGTTCTGGAGGCGGTTCCTAACCTTTTTGTTACAGCGGAAAACAAAACTGGACGGCTGGAGAGAAGTGAGGGTGCTCTGAGGGGTGCACAGGCAGTTCTGCCTGTCATTTTACCGTCAACACTTACATCAAGTTTGTAGAAATTATGTAAACTTGTTTGCTAAAGGTTCATGTTAAATTTTCCAGTTAGAAAGCTTAGAAAGTGAAGTTGAATAATCTTTTTAAAAAAGATTTTATTTTTAGACAGAGGGGGATTTTATTTATTTTTAGACAGAGGGAGAAAAACATCAATGTGTGGATGTCTCTCTCACGCCCCCTACTGGGGACTTGGCCCACAACCCATGCATGTGCCGCGACTGGGAATGGAACTGGTTCTCCAATGGACCCTTTGGTTCTCAGGCCCACTCTCAGCCCACTGAGCTACACCAGTCAGGACTGAAGTCGAATAACCTTTCTTTTTTTTTTCTTTTAATTGTTCAAGTAGAGTTTTCTGCCTTTTACTCCTATCCCGGCCCCCCCAGCCCCCCCACCAAGTTGAATAATCTTAAAATGATGACCGGAATCGACATTTTGGACTTTTTATCCAGTTTGTGTGGCTTCAGTGGTTTAGTGTGAGGGAGGGGGGAAACAGCCAAGTCCTCAGTATTTACTGTTTATGCAATAAGTTCTACCTCTTTTTCCCTTTATGTTTTATTGTTTAGACGGTTACAATTGTCCCTACTATTTAGCGCTTTGCCCCCTCCCCCCCTCCAGGCCATCACCACACTGTTGCCCTCGTCCGAGGGTCACGCAATACGAGTAAGCGGTTTGGCTAATCCCTTCAGCTTCTCGCTTCCTCCACCTCTTAAGTGTTTTTTTTTTTTTAAGTTCGGTCCCCTTAGAACGAGAAGCCAGGCTCCTCTTTGTAACGCTTCTGCTGCATTGGTTTGGCAGTGTCGGGCGCTCTTGGGGAAACGATACATGGACGTAGTCAGGAAATTGCTTGAAATCTACAAAAGGGGGAGCTAACAAAATTTAGCAACATCCAGCATTTTTTCAACCGGGGGGGTCTAACCGCCGGTTCTAGAGGCGCCAGTTCCATGGCGAGAAGGGCAGCCCCGATGACCCGAGCTTGACGGAAACCGTCTGCCCCCAGGTGGGGCTGTGTGCTTTTAAGTAGAAGCTCCCGCGTCCCAAGTCGGCAGGTCCGAGCCTTGCGTCCTCGGGAGCTCGGCTCCGGGTCCGCGGCGTCCCTGGGCTCCCCGCGCCCCTAAGCCCGCAAGCGAGGACTGGCGGACTGGAGCCTAGGGCAGGGGGAGCCAGCCGCCCCGGTTTAAGAAGCCTCGGCTCCGCGTTTGAAGAGGCTTCTCAGCATTTTGGATCCCGGGGACGCCCGCGGCAGCTGAAGACCAGCAGTAAGGCAATCATTCCGCTGCGCCCTCCCGCGGAGGCCTCCCTGCGGCGGGTAGGCGGGGCCTAGGGGAATCGGCGGGTGGGCGGGGCCTAGGGGGATCCGCGGGGTGGCCACGCCCACCGCGGCTCCGGAAGGGGAGGCCCGGCGCTCAGTTCGTCCTTGCTTTCGCGCGCCCTGGTGCTCCCGCAATGGCGATGGTGACGGCCACGGCAGCGCGGCACGGGGGGCGGCCCGTGCGGGTGCTGGTGGACATGGACGGCGTGCTGGCCGACTTCGAGGCCGGGCTCCTGCGGGCGTTCTGCCGCCGCTTCCCTGGGGAGCCGCACGTGCCCCTGGCCGAGCGCCGCGGCTTCTTCGCTCGGGAGCAGTACCGAGCCCTGCGGCCGGACCTGGCGGTAGGGGGGTGGAGGGTGCAGGGCGGGTGCACGCGGGACTCCCCCACAGGACCCCTGGGAGGGATCCTCCCCCCCCTGTCTCCGGGAGCGGGAGCTCCGACCCCGCAGGGCACTCAGGAGCGAGGAGTCCTACCCTGGGGCAGCAGGGCCTCTGGTTCACTTCCCGAGACACCGTCTTCCTGTTGAAAGTTAACAAACCCCACTTAAGAGTACAGGGCCCATCCCAGGATAAGGAGAGCCCGCCCCCCACCTGCCCCCCACCTTCGAGATCCTCGCCGGGGTAGATCTGCTGAGGCAGAAGCCGGGAGGGGAACGCTCTCTTTCAGGACAAAGTCGCCAGTGTGTATGAAGCCCCCGGCTTTTTCCTGGACCTGGAGCCCATCCCTGGAGCCGTGGAAGCCATGCAGCAGATGAACGCCCTGAAGGAGTGAGTCAGGGGGGCAGGGGGCGGGGAGCGGGGAGCAGGGCCGGCACCAGCGCCGCCCTGTCTAACTAGCCCCTTCCCCGCAGCACCGAGGTCTTCATCTGCACCAGCCCTCTGCTGAAGTTTGACCACTGTGTGGGAGAGAAGGTGCGGCCGCCCCAGCGTCTCTCAGACACACTCGGCTTCCTAAGTCATGATCTTAAAATAAACCAGCGGAAACGCAGGAAGTGTGGGGTGGGGGAGAGGGGGGTGCGACCGTCATGGGCCGCGGACCCCACTCACCTACTTCCGCATTGGCCCTGAACTCAGGGGCCGCTGGGCCCCACTGACACGTCTGCGCCCTCTGCACAGTACCGCTGGGTGGAGAAGCACCTGGGGCCCCAGTTTGTGGAGCGCATCATCATGACGAGGGACAAGACGGTGGTCCTGGGGGACCTGCTCATTGATGACAAGGACACCATTCAAGGTTGGATCTCTTTTCCTTGGCAACCGCTAGGCATCTGACCTTCCTGGGACTAGGGAGAGGGAGCAAAAATAACCACATTGCAGACTGCATGCTCGCTGCCCCTCCCCCGTGTCCTGTCCCAGGCCGAGAGGAGACCCCGAGCTGGGAGCACATCTTGTTCACCTGTTGCCACAACCAGCACCTGGCCCTGCCCCCCACGAGGAGACGGCTGCTCTCCTGGAGTGACAACTGGAGGGAGATCGTAGACAGCAAACGGCGACCGGGGCCCAGGGCCGAGGATGGGAGCTGAAGGAAGGGGAGGCTGGCCAGCAGGGAGCCCAGCAGGCGGGGTGACAGGGCACCACGGGGCGGTGAGCCCAGCGCTGGGGAGTGGGGAGACGCGGTCACCTCTCCTCTCAGGCCGGCCACCTGGCACCCCCCGAGATGGCTGGCGTGGAAGCACGCTGGGAGATCAGTCAGGAACCCTTGAATAAAAAACACTTGGCTCATTGCTCTTTTCAGACCCTTTATTTGGGAAAGGAAAGGGGCAGGAGCCCAAGGGCTGCAGCTGGATTGGAGGCTGGCGGACGAGGCCTCCCCCTCCTGTCTCCAGGGGCCCTGGGTCACGCCACCTCCACACCCCCGGACGCCTTTCCGTGGTCAGGTAGGAGGTCAGTCTTAAGGGAGTGCAGGGGACCGGGGCTCCCCACTACTCCTGAACCCTAGCCTCCCATGGCTGTCCCTCGCCCCTTCCCTGGCGCTGATCAGCATGTACTGTGGGCTACAAGCCACAGACGGTGTCAGGGCCTGGCCCTCTGTCTCCTGAGCACCCCTCTCCCTTGTATCCCCGAAGCCCTCGGGCCTGAGACGCACTTTCAGGGGCAGGGACTCCCCTTTACCTAACCCTGATGGCGGAGGCGGGGCCTGCGTGGGGGAGAAGACGCTGCTCCCAGAGTTTGCGCCCGTGTTCTGATGTCACCACCCGCAGGCCTGGGTCTGAACGCCTCATGCCATGGGGACAGTCACGGGGCTGTATCGCTTGGGAGCAGGGACCACTTGCTCGCCTGGGAAGCCCTCCCATGGTGCCTGGCAGACTGGCCCGTGTGGATAATTGGTTAATCCTGGGCCGGCACCCGGCCTCCCGGGGCCTGCAGGTAGTTTTAATAATGAGGCTGCTCATTCCCGCTCCGCAGCATAGCCCCAGACAAGACACACCTGTTGAGGACCACGCCCCCTTCCTCAAGCTCCGGCAGTGGGCAGTGCTCCCGAGCCCCGGCCCAGCTGCCCTCAGGAGAACCGCCTTCTGCAAAGGCCTCTGGACGGAGGGAGCGGTTGCTGCTTCTACCCGAGGGTGAGAGCCGGGCAGTGGGGCGGGGCAGGAGGCGGGGCCTCCGCCCCCCTTGGTGAGCGTGCCCGCCCGTGAAACCGTGAAACCGGCACTGCTCTGGATTTCCTTCTCACGTGTCTCAATGTGTCTGTCCTCAACTCATCTCCTGACGCCTTTCATCACGGTGTAAACGCCCGTCAGGCTGGGAAAACTCACCTTTACAACGGCTGAAAGGCACCATGTGGGGAGAAAGGGCTCGCTGGGAGCCACCGGCCCGCTCCCCGAGCCCCACAGGATGCCGGCTCGCCTCCGGCAGTAAGGGCCCCAGGGTCTGGGGGCCTCCCTGCATCAGGACTGCTGCGGGGCCTCGGCCCGCGGCAGGGGGATGCCCAGGGCGGAGTGGGCCGGCCGGTGGCGCGCTTCGGCCACCTGGCCGGGGGAGCAGAAGTCTTCCAGGAAGATCTGCGCCAGGTTCCGGAGCCTCGCGTTGGCCGAGAGGGAGAAGCGCAGCATGCACTGGACCACGGGCAGCGCCGTCAGCTCAGGGTGGGCGGCGGCGCCCCCCGGCGGGCTCAGGTACATGAGCGCCGTGACGGCGGACAGCACGGTCTCCTCGCCGGGGCTGGACAGGCAGTTGGTGATGAGCGGGACGCCGCCCGCCTGCAGGATGTGCTCCCGGTTGGCCCGGTCCGCGCACAGGTTGCAGAGGCCTCCTGCGGGGAGAGCAGGGTGAGCCCGGGCCGCCCCTCCCCCCGTCCACCGCTGCCCACGGGGTCCAGGGAAGGGCCCGGGCCGCGGACGAGCTGCCCCAGGGACGGGGGCCGCGAAGTCCACGCTGGTCTCCGGCGCCCCCTCACAGGGTCCCAGCCAGGCCTGCCCGCCTGTGGCAGCCTAGCCTTCCCGAAGCGGGCATTCTCCCTTTGGTTTGGCCAGCTCCGTGGGTGATGTGCTTCCCCCACCCCCTTTTTAAAAAGTAAAACACAAAAACAAAGCCCATAATATAATACATCTTTAAAAGAATTTTATCCCAGGTTTGATTCCCAGCCAGGGTACATGCCTGGGTCGCAGGCCATAACCCCCAGCAACTGCACATTGATGTTTCTCTCTTTGTCTATCTCCCTTCCCCTCTAAAAATAAAAACAAATAAAATCTAAAAAAAAAAAGAATTTTAAAGTAGAGGTAAGATGATGGTTTCACAGTGTACATATAGGTCAAGGCTTAGGAAAGTGCACCCTGTAAGTATGTACGGTTCATTATATGTCCGCTACACTTCAGTAACGCTAAAAACACTGGTCCTGGCCAGGCACCTCAGTTGGTGAGCGCGTCATCCCAACACGCTAAGATGGTGAGTTCGACCCCGGTCAGGGCACACACGGGAAGCCACCAGTGAATGCATAAAGAAGTGGCACAGCAAATCTATGTCTCTTTCTCTTAAAGATAAAAACAACAATTTTCTTAAAAAGCTAAAGAAATTATAAGTCAAAATGTAAACCATTTTAATCTCCTCACCCAGACATTTAGCATTTGCTTTTCATTCCATAACTTTCAAATATGTAAGTACGTCCTTCCTAAAAATCTGGTACCCCCTCACGTTTCTCTCAGCCACCTGTGTTCACTGAACACTGCGCTGCGAACCCCGTCCTGTGCCGACAAACCTCCAGGCACGGCGCCACGCGGCGGCCGGGCCACACACACACGAATGGGGGACACAGCAGAACTCACTAGGAGGGCAGGGCACTTCAGCGTCATTTCCCGTCACTGTCACTAGGATGCTGGGGAGCAAAGAAGGAGTCGGCAGGGAGAGACCCGTGGCTCTGGGTCCGAGCGGCCGTGGCCCAGGCGGTGTGGCCAGACGCCCCTCTCGCGTGTCAGGTCCTCGAGCACTGCCCCCTCGATGCGGCAGCCCGGAGGACGGCGCTGCCGCGCCCCGGGGCAGTGCCTCGAGCGGGAAGCCGAGTTCCTGTGCATGGACGGAGCCCCCTGCCGTCGCGGCACCGCTGCCTTGTGGTGGTAACCACGCTGCCGTGTCAGACATGGCTCCCGAGGAAAAGGAGAACAAGTTCTGACTGGCTGGGGAACATGCTCTGGACAAGCCAGGCAGGCCGGAGAGCGAGAGAACAGGAGGCAAGAGGAGGGTGCTTCCAGACGCAGGGAGCCATGGAACCCGCCCGGCCCCCCCCCAGAGGTCAGGCAGGTGACCTTGGGTCACACAGCAAGTAGGGCACTGCTGCAGGTAGGGGGGGGGGGGTGGCGCCTACGGGTTGTCCCAGGGATTAGAGGCGGTCATGCAGAGAAACGCTTGGCCAGCAGCTGGCGCCCAGGGGCTGGGTGAGGCCTTGGAGGGAAGGGCCCAAGACGTTACTACATCTGAGGACGCAGCCACCCAGGGGCTCTGGGCTGTCTGCAGCCCACCCCAAGCCAGCACCTTCATCCGGGACTCTGTGTTTTTGGGTTTCACTGCAGCTTCTTGAGAATGGTTCTTGCTGGAATTCCAAGTTCGAGGGACAGGACAAGGCACTGGGAAAGCCGCCCCCATGCAGAAGCGGGGGCGGGGTGTATGCGTGTGCTCACGGTCGCTGGTTCTCTGTGAGGGGGGGCTGTGGGGGACCCGGGAACGGAGGGGACTTCCTTAAACACCTTGTAACACGGTTTAGACCTCAACCGATGAATTCCACTTCTAGAAACTTATCCTAGGGATACAGTCCCACAGGTGAGAAGTGGCACAAGAGCAAGGTCATCCACTGAGACACCGCCTGGGGGAGCAGGAGGGAAACCAGCTGAACCCGCACCCCTGCGGGGCTGGCTGACCCTCGGCCCCTCCCGGCCACGGACTACCACGCCGCTTTGTGCCACGTGCACAGCACGAGGCAGCTGCTTATGGACTGGCACTGCAGGTGTGTCAAGATATGTTGCTGAGTTAAACATACAAAACAAAACAAAACAAAGCAAAAGCAGAATACTGATATAGCACCCTGGCCAGAGTAGCTCAGTGGCTTGCAAACCAAAGGGTTGCCGGTTCGATTCCCAGTCAGGGCACACGCCTGGGTTGTGGGCCAGGTCCCCAGTAGGGGGTGTGCAAGATGCAACCACACATTGGTGTTTCTCTCCCTCTCTCCCTCCCTTCTCTCTAAAATAAATAAATAAATAAATACAATCTTTAAAAAAAGAAAAAAGAATGTTGATATAGCACACTACCCCATGTGT